ATAATAATAAATAACTTATCATGTCTCATTTCAAGAGAACTGGTCCACAATAGGTAAAGTCTCTCTTCAGCCCACAGTCCAATCCTATGTTTGGCAACGCAAATGATACACCAACTGCTGGCTCTGGCGCCGCAAACGCTTTAGCGCTGCCCTCTCGTGCTATCCCATCTGCCTCTTCATTACTAGAAACCCCAGAGTGATATGAGAAACCCAGATCAGAGAAACACTGTTATCACAATTCAGTGTGCTTAAAGCTTTTTATAGAGCATTAATCACCAATAGTGATCCTGCTAAATTTAACGGCATTGATAACACAATATCAGTGCTTATAATGTCATCCGCAGCTCATTGGTAAGACATGTCGGAACAGTTTTAAGCATATTACTTAAATCTGTAAATGGTAGTTCTAGCCACTTTCTCTTTATGCAAATACAAAGGAGATATGCCAAGCAGAACATCCATTGGTAGAGTCAGTACAGTCTTTTAGGGGTAAGACCAATTTTTTCCACAAAGACTACGTCAAGTCCAAAAGGATAGTCTAGCTTTATGTAAAACTCCCTGCAAATTTCCATTCCATGATAGGGTTTTATCTAGGATTACTCCTAGATATTTGACTTCCCTTGAGAAAAGAATTTCTTCACCTTGATAGTTGGGCGGATTAGTCCATCAAGAAGATATCTATGTTGCGTGGTGAAATAGCTGATAACACTGAGCTTCATAACATCTTCATTATCTAAGTCAACAAAAACTTTGGTAATGTTTTGAAGTAATTTAAAAATTTTTGACTCCACAATGCATCTTGTTATCATTTTAAGGCATAAAAAGATTTATTTATCTTATCAACATCGAAAACACCTATATATTTTCAAAAATTATTCCATATAGAGGATGGTTCTTTTAATTTGAAGCAAACTACTATCTAAAAAAACATTGAATTTTATGTAAAAGCATAAAAGCATTCTTTATATTTATATATATTGGCATTTTGCGAATAGCTGCTTCAAACATAATTTTTTCTTTCGTCAGAAGACCACTTGTTCAGTTAACATCCTGCTGGTTGTTTTTCAGTACAATTGAACACAGTTTCTTCAGCTCTTCTGGGACTCTCGTTTTGCATTCATTATGATAATCACAGTCTTTCTTTATCTTAGTATTGCCTGGTTATGGAACTCGAAAGTTTGAGGTGTAGCCAACATATTTTTTCACTTACATTCTTTAAGATTTTGTGTATTCTTTCACGTAGTTGGACTTGTTTTGTCCTGTTCAGGATTTTACTGTCTGCAGTTGATTCAATGTGGTTGCGACATTTTCAGAAATATTGGTGTCACATTCTAGTATTTTTTGATTGAAAATTTCGTCTAAGATAAGTTTCGAGTTAAGTTATCCGAAACATCTAACAGTGTTTTAATAGATGTACAGGGTGAGTCAAAGAATGGGAAATCCGAATACCGGGGATACTAGACACTAAAATATGGCGATTTACCAAACATCTCTTATACAAATGTCGGTGGTTTTCGAGGCACAGGGAGGCAAACTACTCGTTTGATAAATCAAGTCATGACTATTTTATCACTTGAGGTATGGTGAAATCTGAAAGAGCTTTCAACTCTACATAAAAAAGGTAGTCTTGCTTAAATTGTCTAAGTCTACTGGTTTCCAAGTTATCTGCTTTTAATTGTTTCAAAGTACTTTCTTCCGGACTTTTTTTTTCTTTAAAACTACACACTTATTCCGGTTGCAATGCTTAATCTGCAACTCGAACCAGAATCTCTTCTTGTTAGTCGTCGCTAATTTGTTTTGTCGAACCACTGCTACTTTTAGGACAAAATTTAAAAATCTAAAAAAGTTTCGCCAAGGCTATTGTAATGATTCCTAAATAACTTATGATTAGGTTGCCTTCGATTTGGTTATAACTTCAAATATCTTCGAGCTGCTGCTAAACCATTAATATTGGTTTGGCAGAACAACAAATCTTATCTTGCATATTACTTATTTATTTATTTCATGTGGGTACAGAAACAGGTCGAACCCAATATTACTGTACCACAAACAACCAATTGTATACAAATAAAATAGAATTACAGTTCACAATAATAATAATAATGAATTAACATTAATGGTACAAAAGTGATTCAAAAGGGAAAAAAACTAAAACTAAATTTAGGTGATATAAATATATCATATATCAAATATCAAATGAACGCTCGAGGCAACACACCAACTGCAGCAAAGAGCAGTTTTTTAAATGCATAGAAAGAATGCTGAAACAGATCTATGTTAACACGATTTGCCGATCTTGCCATTCTCAATAAAGGAGAGTTTTGACAGGCATTGGTTCTAGGAGTAGGTGTCATAAATAGAAAATCAAAGCGAAGTAATCTCGGAGGAACGTGAACACATATAGAACCAACAAGCATTGGAGAATCACACTTGTTGTTCAAAAGTTTGTAAAAATATAATATATCCCCACAAAAGCGACGCTGGTTGAGGGTTAACATACGAAAAGAAGTGCAAGTTGATTCGTAATCAATGTATTGAATGGAAAATTTAAAACAAAGGTATTTGAGGAATTTAGATTGAATACGCTCAATTCTAGATTTATACGAGAGATACTGAGGATTCCAAACGACGCTGCAGAAGTTAAGTGTGCTGTAAACATAGGCAAAATAGAGATTTCTAATTGCAGCAATGTTTGAAAAAGCTACCGTTGATCTCATAATAAATCCTAACATACGCCAGGCTTTGGAGACAACAGTATCGATATGTTTATCAAATAATAATTTATAATCAAATGTAACACCCAAATCTCTAATAAATGAGACACGTTGCAACCTCTCACCAGCGACGCTATAATTGTAGTGGATTGTGTTCACCCTCCTAGAGAAGGAAATAACATTACACTTTGATAAGTTTAATGAAAGGCGATTATTTAAGCAAAAAGCATGTAGATTGTTTAAGTCAGATTGCAGTTTAGAACAATCAAGAGGTGAGGAGATACGGAGAAAGAGTTTTAAATCGTCAGCATACATTAAACATTGGGCATAATTAACGACGTCAAATATGTCGTTAACATAAATATTAAACAGTAAAGGGCCCAGATGGCTACCCTGTGGAACACCAGAAGGAACCGACACAGGATTAGAGAAAAAACCATTAACCGAAACAATCTGGCATCTCTCCTTCAGATAGGAAGCAAGCCATTGCAAAAGATTTCCCTGAACACCAAACTTCTTTAGTTTGAACAGAAGTAAGTTGTGATCCACCCGGTCGAAAGCTTTACTAAAATCCGTATAAACTGAATCAACCTGACAAGAATCATCCAGAGTAGATAAGATATACTGGGTATATTCAAGCAAGTTACTCTCCACCGAGCGACCAGCAAAAAAACCATGTTGTCTAGAATTGATTTTAGACTTAAGGGCAAAGAATAGACGTGCATGAACTACTTTCTCAAACACTTTCCCAAATGCTGGCAAAATAGATATGGGGCGGTAATCGGATATAGCACCACGGTCCCCAGATTTAAAAATGGGAAGAACAAAAGCCCGCTTCCACAATAAAGGAAAGACACCCATTATCAATGAAGCATTAAATAAAATAGTTAAAGGAAGGGACAGAGAGTGTGAACATTCCTTGATTAAAATTGATGGAATACCATCAGTACCTATACTGTCTGTAACCCTGATGCCCATCAGGGCCTCCTCAACCTCAATTCTGTCAAACTGCATCTGACTCAAAGGAAGGGTATCCATTTCTATACAATCTACATTCTGCTGGATTGGAGCAGGATCCACAAAAACCGAAGAAAAGAAATCAGCAAACAATGAGCATACTCCGACACCATCGCCGACAACAGTTCCATTCCATGACATCGTAGAAGGAATGACATCCGCACGCTTCTTAGACTTAGTAAAAGCCCAAAACACCTTTGGATCAGATTGCATATTACTTTCAGCTCTTCTAACATACTCCATGTAATTGTGATGGATTAGATACTTTGCACGACTCCTTAGAATTGAAAAAGTGAGGTAGTCAAGTCGGTTTCTAAAACGCTTCCATCTACAGTGCGCCCTCCTTTTCTCTCGAATTACTTTAATGGTACTGTATGAAAACCAACTGGGAAAACCCTTGATAGCTTTGCGTTTTAAAGGGACAAATTCGCGAATAGCAGTATTAACATAGTTATAAAAAATTTGAACAGCGTCATTGATATCACGACCAGCGAGCTCTGATTCCCAGTCAATTCCATTAAAGTACTCATTCAATTCAGGAAACCGGGCTTTTCTAAAACAAAAAGCATCACCATGATGTATAGATAATGAACGAGTAAATGAAATTGAGCAGGAAAACTTTAGAGTGGAGTGCGCACTGTCCTCAGGAAGCAATGGATCACTACAAAGAGATAATTGATGTACATCGGCAGAATTCGTAATAACAAGATCAAGTGTGTTTACATAAGAATTTTTATGATAATTTAGTTGGTTAAGTCCGCAAAGGGAAAGAACATCCAGAAATTCACTGGAGCGGGCGCTGACGGCGATTACTATTAGAATACTCATTGTATCGTGGCATTACTATTACTATGTTGTATATTTTTATTGTACTAAAATTGAACTAACACTAGAACCAGAAAGTATAATTTTTGAATGTTTCTAGTTCTTGGTCTAGCGTTAGTTGCAGTTTTACACTAGCACTATCACATTCGGATTTAGCAGTCTTGAGAGACGTGCGGCTAAACCCGAATGGTTCTAGTTCTAGGTCTTGTGTTAGTTCTAGTGGCAGTTGTATATGTTTATTGAACTAAAACTAGGGCTAACACTAGACGTAGAACTAGAAAATATCGGGTTTAGCCGTGCGTCTGAAGACAGTATAATATCTCCGATATTCGCATTTCCCATTCTGCCTGACTCACCCTGTATATTTATTAATTATTTATTGGTTTATTTTCCAAACATTTTTGTTATCGAATTATTTTTATAGCATTTTTATTTTGTTTTAAGGTTTCAGCAGGTCAACACCTTCATCTTTCCGGCGACTTAAAAGGCAACGTATCCATCGCAACCCAACAAGGCATGCATTTCACCCAACACACGACATCTTCAGGTCAATCGTCCTCTCAACAACAGCAGCAACAATCGGGAGCTTCCAGTCAAAATCAACCGCAATCGAATCAAAATCAATCTCAACAACAACACGCGAATCCAATGCAAAGCAATTTGAACATGAACCAAGCGACTAGTAATACGATGGGGTCGAATCAGACAACTGCAAATACAATGCATAGTCCTGGTTTGAGTAATCCAAATAATAACGGAGGGCAGGCTTCGATGCAAGGCGGTATGCAAAATGGGTTGCAAAATGTTGGTGGAATGAGTGGTGGGAGTATCGTTAATAATGGTATGCAGCCGAATAATAATATGGTGATGATGGGTTTGAATCCTCAAAGTCATATGAACCAACAAAACCCGTTGAGTGATAGCTATTCGATGTCGCAATCGCAAACGATTAATTTTACGCAACAAACGTTAAGACAAAGAAACGGTTTAAATAATTTAAGTAATATAGGTGTAAATAGTAATATGGGATCGCCTAATCAATTTGGTATGTCTTCGAATCCTATGGGTGTTCGTCAGATGACACCTCAAGTTTTAGAACACCAAAAATTGCTTCAACAGCAACAACTTTTACGGCAACAACAACAACAACAACAACAGCAGCAGCAACAACAACAACAACAGCAGCAACAACACGTTCGCCCACCACCGCCGGATTACAAAAGTTCCGCAATGCTTCAAAACATCCAATCGAGGTTTCCAAGCAATTCCGGAATTCGCCGTATGCCGCATCAAACGATGCCACCCTCTGGGCCTATGATGATGCGCCCTCAAACTATGTATATGTCACAACAACAACATATTTCAAGGGGGATGTATCGACCACAAACGAATATGAACGTTGAAACGATGCCGCAACCGGGATCAATGGAATGGAGGCACATGTTGATGTCGCAACAACAAAACGCCGGTTTTACACAACAAATTAGGCCGAACTTTCAAGGCTTTAATGTTAATAATGGGAATATGCAAATGAACGCGATGCAATCGCAACAATTTCGAATGCAACGGGCTATGGTTGGCGGAACTATGCATTCTGCGCAAGGGATGAACCCCGGAATGGGACAAGGCGGAGCTGTTGGTATGGGACAAATGAATTCTATGAATCAAATGATGCACATGCAACAACAGCAGAGCGTTATGCAACAAGGAAATAATCAGGTAAATTTATTTTAGCATTCGAGCGGGCGCGCTGTCATAAAATTTATGACAATTTTCGTTTTTATAATATATCTCCTTATATTATGCATTTGAAAGGATTTAACTCTAAAGTATTTATGTAACTATGTGTTTTAAATACGATGAAAAAAATATATTGATGTCTTTATGGCAAAAAAAAAGTTATAAAAGACAAAAAATGTACACATTAATTGCTGATTTATAAGGTCGTATTTATATTATGGGGTATAAATACCCATAATATACTAATATACAGGGTGAGTTATTAGTAGCCTGGCGGACCATAGTTACTAAACCGTTTGAGAAAGAAAAGAATATTTTATACAAAAGTTGTTTGACTCACCACATTCTATTACGTAAAATTATTTTCCCTTATACAGGATGTTCGATTTAGGCGTAACGGAGAGTATGTAGATTTTTTTAAATGGAACATCCTATATATTATCATATTGTGAATAGCATTAAATTTGTTTATACAACCGTATAAACTCATAGCGTTTATAGTTCCTGGAATATTCAATGGTTTTTCCAAAATGTGTTGGAAAATTGCAGGATCTTTTTAAAAACGATGTAATAACGACATTTTGTCCAATTTTACCTTGAAACTATGTCATTTAATATAGGTATATTGTGTGCTGGTTGAATTGCCCATCAAGTTACCTTTAATTTAATGAAAAGTATGTCATATATCAGGGGTGGCCAAGCTCTTTGTTAGTCCGAGCCATTTTTAAGTTTGAAATTTTTCGCGAGCCGCAATTAAATACGTATATATTAAAACGGTATGCAAAAAAGGTATTACAAAAATTTTTTTTACAGAAATTATATTAAATACAGCCTGTTTCAGAGTAAGCGCCTTATTCTTTTTAGCCACACTGTGGGACTACGTTCAAAATATTTGACAGTAATATGTTTTAGGACATTCTCTACACGATGGTGATACCAGATTTTCAATTGGATGAATTATTTCAAAATAGCGGCTTTCAACTTTTTTTTTAAATGGAATGCCATAATTTTTTTTTATCGTTGAGATCCTAAAAACATTCTTTTTACGATAGTATTTCGTTTTTCTTAAAAATTCATTTCTTTCCCCATCAAAAAGCAAACTAACATTTTAATCTAGTAGCTCGTGAATGTTTCCATGAAAAAACAAAAAAAAGTGACAAAAAAAGGACAGATTATATTACATTCTGTCAATTTTAAGTACAATAATGACATTTTATTACACATTTTTCTTTAAATTTTAAATATCAGGAAAACTATTAAAGTTAAACATATGACATACTTATCATTAATTAAAGGGAACTTGATTAGCAATTCAACTAGCACACAATATACAGGCTGTTCCATTTAAAAAACTTATGAAAAAGCCATTTGAAAAACATCAACAGTAACTGAGCTTTTTAAACATACTGTATAGTGTATCTAATATCTTTGAATACTATCATCTACCTACTAGCTTTGACTATTGTCTGACGTAGTTTCAAAGCAAAAACGGTGTGAAATAGTAACATATACGGTTGTATAAACAAATTTAGTTGTATTATTTAGTTGTAAATAATTTTACGTACTCTCCGTTACGCTTAAATGGAACACCTGTATAACTGAAAATAATTTTACGTAATAGAAAGTGATGAGTCAAACAACTTTTATATAAAATATTTTTTTGTTTTTCAATCGGTTTAGTAACTAGCGACCGTCGGGATACTAATAACTCACCCTGTATATTATTAAGGGATATAAATGTATGTGACAGTGGTAGGTAGCGCTAGTTGACATAAGATATCACTATGTTGCATATTTTTATTAAACTAAAACTAGAACTAACACTAGAACTAGAAACATTCGGGTTTAGCCATGCGTCTAAAGACGCACGGCTAAATCCGAAACTTTTTAGTTCTAGGTCTAGTGTTAGTTCTAGTTTTACACTAGCACTAGCAGACCTAGAACTAGAATCATTTGGATTTAGCCGTCTTGAGAGGCGCACGGCTAAACCCGAATGTTTCTAGATCTAGCATTAATCCTAATTATATGGTTACNTGTTGGTATGGGACAAATGAATTCTATGAATCAAATGATGCACATGCAACAACAGCAGAGCGTTATGCAACAAGGAAATAATCAGGTAAATTTATTTTAACATTCGAGCGGGCGCGCTGTCATAAAATTTATGAGAATTTTCGTTTTTATATCTCCTTATATTATTACATTTGAAAGGATTTAACGCTGAAATATTTATGTAACTATGTATTTTAAATATGATGAAAAAAATATATTGACGTTGTCTTTAGGACAAAAAGAAGTTATAAAAGATAAAAAATTTACACATTAATTGCTGATTTATAAGGTCGCATTTATATTATGGGATATAAATACCCATAATATAATAATATACAGGGTGAGTTATTAATATCCCGGCGGACCATAGTTACTAAACCGTTTGAGAAACAAAAGAATATTTTATACAAAAGTTGTTTGACTCACCACTTTCTATTACGTAAAGTTATTATACAGTGTTCACTTATACAGGGTGTTCGATTTAGGCGTAACGGAGAGTATATAGATATTTTTAAATGGAACATCCTATATATTTTATCATATTGTGAATAGCATTAAATTTATTTATACAACCGTATATGTTACTAACTCATAGCGTTCATAGTTCCTGAGATATTCAATGGTTTTTCCAAAATGTGTCCATTGCAGGATCTTTTTAAAAACGATATAAAAACGACATTTTTTCCAATTTTACCTTGAAACTATGTCAGATAGTAGTCAAAGCCAGTTGATAAATGATAGTATCCAAAGATACTATATATACATAAGTTTTTTAAATGAAACATCCTGTTCTGTGCTGGTTGAATTGCCCATCAAGTTACCTTTAATTAATGATAAGTATGTCATATATCTAACTTTAGTAGTTTTCGTGATATTGAGAATTTAAAGAATAATGTGTAATAAAATATGTGTTATTGTACTTAATATTATATTCTGTCTATTTTTATCAGTTTTTTTTTTGTTCTTCCTTTTATTATTTGATTATTATTTTATAATGTAAATTAATTTTGCTGCCATATACCAGATTTTAATGCGACTACTTTATGAGATTTAAAAAGATGTCAGTAATAAAATATAAAGAAAATAAGATGCACATGTTAAGAGATACCTCAAGATCTTTTATACAGCGCATTATCAATGCTTGCAGAAGAGAAAATGGGCGGCATTTTGAACAACTTCTAAATATTAATTAAACTAATAACTACTTGTTGGGCAACGTTTAGTAATTGTTTATAGTTTGTTGCTGCATTTCCTTCAAATAATTTAGTAATTAAAAAAGGGATTTATTGTTATGCCATTTAATTGTATTTTTATCACGTTTCCATTATTTATTTATTAAAGTTTTCTTTTAATTGTATTTTGATATAATATTATTGATTTACAAATGACAGACAAACAAAAAAGAAAAAACAAAAAAAGTGATAAAAAAGGACATAATATATTACATTCTGTCACTTTATAAGTACAATAATGACATTTTATTACACATTTTTCTTTAAATTTTAAATATCAGGAAATCTATTAAAGTTAGACAAATGATATACTTATCGTTAATTAAAGGGAACTTAATGAGCAATTCAACTAGCACACAATATACAGGCTGTTCCATTTAAAAAACTTAAGAAAAAGCCATTTGAAAAACATCAACAGTAACTGAGCTTTTTAAAAACCCCCTATCTAATATCTTTGAATACTATCATCTACCTACTGGCTTTGACTATTGTCTGACGTAGTTTCCTGTAATAGGCACATTTTAGAAGAACAATTGAATATCTCAGGATCTATGAACGCTGTGAAATAGTAACATATACGGTTGTATAATAGTATATTAAAAAACAAGTTTCGTAAGACACGCTTGAAGTGCACGAATTCAAGTTGAAAAACGAGTGGCGAAGCCACGAGTTTTTTAATGAATGAGTGCTTTAGTCTTATGAAACGTGTTTTTTATGCTATTTTTTGTAATTCGCGTTTTTATACTTTTTTTAACCAAAATAAAGTAAATTTTGGAAATGTAGGGAAGTAGGTATGTAGCAGTTGGTGACACCGGAACACTTGAAAATAGAAACTTTGAATTGACAATTAGAAACTGTCAAAACACAAAATATATTCACCTGAAAAAAATGTTTGATGTACACCTCCCAAAATAAGAGAGATTGCTCAGAGTCAATGTCCTCATCATTGTGGACCTTGTATTCGATGCTAAGAACGTGTTTAAACATCCATAGACAAAAATTGTCACATTGACAACTAGAAAAATTAATGACCCAATGTCACCAACTTGAACTGGTTCCATAAAATGTTACTAAAATCTCATTACAGCATCGGATGCTGTAAGGAGTCTCATTACAGCACCCGTTTGAGTACTGTTATAGCTTCCATTACCGTAGCGAATTACAAAAACAAATTTAGTTGTATTCATAATATGATACCATATACAGGTGTTCCATTTAAATAAATTTACGTACTCTCCGTTACGCTTAAATGGAACAACCTGTATAAGTGAAAATAATTTTACGTAATAGAAAGTGATGAGTCAAACAACTTTTATATAAAATATTTTTTTTGTTTTTCAAACGGTTTAGTAACTATCGACCGTCGGGATACTAATAACTCACTCTGTATATTATTAAGGGATATAAATGTATTATAAACACGTTTTGAGTCATACATTATCGGATCGTTTGCACATTTTTGAAAAATACAGGGCCGTAATGACAATTTTGTCGGAATCGAAATTTTTTCATCTTCTTAAAATTTCAATCTTATCGGTTTTTCGTGAGTTTATAGAAATATTCAATATATTCAAAGGCTTAAGACGGCTAAACCTGAATGTTTCTAGTTCTAGGTCTAATGATAGTTCTAGTGACAGTGGTAGGTACCGCTAGTTGACATAAGATATCACTATGTTGCATATTTTTATTAAACTAAAACTAGAACTAACACTAGACCTAGAACTAGAAACATGCGTGCATCTTTAGACGCATGGCTAAACCCGAAACTTTTTAGTTCTAGGTCTAGTGTTAGTTCTAGTTTTACACTAGCACTAGCAGACCTAGAACTAGAATCATTTGGATTTAGCCGTCTTGAGAGGCGCACGGCTAAACCCGAATGTTTCTAGATCTAGCATTAATCCTAATTATATGGTTACTGCATTCATATACAGAGTGTCTCACGTAACTGCTTCGTTAGAACTTTTTTAGGTTCCACTATTCGTACAGTTTTGAAATTTTGGTAGCATGAATTGTTCATTCGGAACATTCGATCTAAAATGTTTTCAAGATGGCTGCCCCTTCCAGTCTACCGGAAGTAGACCATAACTTCGTTATTTTAAATGGAATGCTATAGTTTTTATTACACCTTTTAATTGTACATAAAAAATACGTTGACTTTCATAAAAGTTATTGGTACCTAGCGTCTTTCGTTTTCGAGTTATTTGATTTTAAGTTATTTTTTGGCATATTTCACCATGCTCTTTAAAACCTCATATATATCCTCATATGTATATCTTTTAATCCTCATATGTATCAATATCTTATACAGGTTGGTCAAAAATTGTATTACCGGTTCTCCATATTCAACTGCAAGAAAGTCGAAAATTTTAAATGGAACACCCCATATTTTATTAGTCTACCCGAGAGGGAATTTAATTCTCTACAATTTATCTATAAACGTTCCTATACCCGTTTATTGTAGTTTCTCTCATATTGGGAAATTTATCAATACATGCTGGAAATGCAGGAAACCGTTTGTATTTTTATTAGAAGGCTATGACATTTTGACAGTTTTTCGTTTAATTTATTTCTATTATTATTTCTACTATGTATTAGCTATGATTGATAATCTTTTAGTTTACTAACTTTTACTTACCAAAAATAATAAACAGAAGTTCAAATAAATGAAACAATTAAAACAAAAAATTAATGACAAAAATTAGATTTGGATAAAAATATAAATTTATAATATAAATTTGTTATTAAATTGAATTTGGAAATTCAATAAATTGTCTTCATCACTGGTGACCGGAAATATAAGTTTTTTTTTGTCTTGATATGTCCAGAACTAAGAAAATCATCATCAATTTTTTGAAATTTTTCCTTGTGGTGGGTTGGTTAGGCAGCTCTCATTAAGTATTCGACACGTCCTGTCCAAAAGTTTATTACATTGGCCATCAATACAAAATAAATTTCAAGTATCGGTGTTGGAATAACCTGCCATGATGTTCAATCGTAAAATGTAACTAATAACAACCTTTCTAATAAAAAAAAACTGCATTTCGTGCATGTTTTAATAAATTTCCCAATATGAGACAAACTACAATAAATAGGTACAGGAATGTTTATAGATAATTTGTAGAGAACCATCTCGAAAATATTTTAGATCGAAAGTTCCGAATAAACAACCTATGTTACCAAAATTTCAAATCTCCACGAATAGTGGAACCTGAAAAAGTTCTAACGAACCAGTTACGTGAGACACCTGTATTGCGACTGATATAAAATTCCTTGTATGTAGTTTATAAATGTAGTTAGATTTCAAAAATTAATCGATTTCATTTTATGTTTTTAACAATTATTTAATATAAATTAAGTATTTTTACTCTAGCAAAATGTGTGTTTTAACTGTTTTATTAAAAATAATTAATGCTTATTAATACGGACTTGAGTCATAAAATTTACGACACGCGCCCGCTCATGTTATAAAATCGGGCGCGCCCGCTCGAAGTTTAAAAATATAGTATGTTTAATATATACTCTATACCACCAGAAGTGAGAGTGACTCATCGCGTGAAAATAGCGCATTCATGATATGCCATTTCACTCTAACACACGTCAACTTATGGGTGTAATATCTGCACCGTATGCGGAAAATAATAACGGAAATCGATGAATCACTCGCGTTTCTCGCGGTATCGACTATATGTAATATAAATTGATATTAATTTTTTTTTAATTTATTTAGATGTCAATAAATGCTTTGCATATGCAACAATCGCAGTCGATAAATATATCGAATCAAACAATGCAACAACAAGCCGCGGCGGCGCCACAAACAATGGGTTCGCAAATGATGCCCAGCGCGACGACGAACAGTTCTTCCATGAGTAGTTTTAGCCAGCAGGCGAACGATTTCAGTTTGGAGTTTTTGGAGAACCTCCCTGGTACCGATACCGGTCCATTTTCCGAACAGGACCTCCTGAATTCGTTCGACAACGATTCGGGCTTTAACCTGCAGGACATCCTGTAACGCGAGCCGACGATCGATTACGTAAGATAATACATACTATATATAATATATACATATATATATTTTTGTACATAGTTTTTTATACATATTTTTTCTATATCGGTTGAATATTATCATCACTACAATTAAAAAAAAAATACATTTATTGATTAGTTAACGAAAAAAATCTAAAATAAATAAGAAAAATCATTTATTTATAACGACGACCACACGAATAAATATAAAAAAGAGAGTAAAAGAGAAAAAGCTTGTGTATTTACCGTCTGCGTTTTATGTGTAACATGTAAATAGTCGTTGAGAGTAAGTTTATTGTATAAGTTGATTTCACGTTCGTTCAGTAAGCGTACACACACGTACTAATCTCCGATATGTGCAATTCAACCGTTTTTTGATATAAAAGATCGTCGCCCCCCCGCCCTCTCAAAATAACTTTTCCAATTATGAACGCTCTACCAAAATGTTGCGTAGTAGACGAAATGAAAAGGAAGGGAGAAAGAAAAGATAATTACATACACTGCCAGTATGATGTATGATCAGAATAAATCGCGTGAATTTGATTAAAAGAAGATACACATTATTGAGAAGATATTATATGATGTGTTCAATAACATGGTTTATTTCTTTTTAGGTCAATTCTAAGTTGGTAATAAATATTAATCTTTGAGTAAGTTTCTATTTGATTTATGTAGTCATTAAGCGATTAATTTAATCTTGATTAGAATCTTATTTACCAGTAACTAGTTGTTATAGTTTATTATTCGCTTAATTATTACATATATCTGATATCATTTAGTAAGATCTTAGAAGGTTTAAGAAAAGAATGGACCACAAAATTAATATTGATCAGATAGTTTGTTTAAATAGTAAGGTAACACACAATATGTGTTATATCACTTTATATTAGGCTCACTTGCTTTGTATTGTTTAAAATCAAAAAATGATGTGTTTTTGTGTTGTAGACAATTAATTTTTTCTTCTCCTGGGATATGTCTGGTAATCTTAACCCGTTTATGCAAGAATTAATTTTTTTTAGATATCCACCTTTCTACATTCTTGGAACTATTTTATTATCATGCCAGCTTATAATGGTTAGTTTCCACCTCTCTTTTTCTTTTCTACCACTTTTGAAGGCATTATGGGACATTTTTCAATTCTATTTTATTTGATACTGCCACAAGCCCTAAATGCAGCTAGTCAATTTGCCATGGCTTTAGCACCAATTTTTTCATTCACTAGTCTAGAAAATACGGTTTGGGCAAAACACCTCAATGTCATCTTTAAATGGTCGAAAATATGCTACATCTAGGGGTTGCAAAAAATTATTCGAATTTGGAGATAGGAAAACAAACTTTATGTTTTTATTTTGGCACTGTTGAATCACGCCAATTGTTGAATGGCTGCTTAAATTGTCTCTAATGATAACTTTGGGGCGGTCTAAATTGTGCATGTAAGGTTGTATCCTGAACTTATAATACAGAATAGCCTCCCTCTATCCACCCAGAATATATATATTATGTTTGGCTTCCTATCTACTAATATGGCAAACATGATACTTGTGCTAGACTTAGACGTGCCTATTACTCTATGGGCATGTTTCATTCCACGTTTTAGAATCTGATGATGTTTGCCATCTTTTAAGCTGTCTTTCAATTCGGCAAAGTATTTTCTATTACATCATAAGTCACGGCTGCTCGAACTATTCTGGTGTTTTCGCAAAATTTAATAGTTAGTCTCGGATTTTCCTGATTTATTTAAATATTGTTGCACCATGTATCTTATGTTATAGCTCTTCAAAGAAAAGCTCCATTTTGCACAGAGTAAGAGACCTTCACCCAATATCTCCTGCTCCAAAAACACTAGAACTGGAGGCCTGCCATATGCTAAAAGGTCGCCAAAGGTCGCAACTAAAAATTGTTCAGATGCTTTTCGTATGCTCATGGTTCCTCGTGTGCACTGAAATAACGACAATAAACGCAAAAATTGCCAACTACCATAGAAATCCTGTAGTTGTCTATGTTTTCATCATCCTGTCTACACCGCCTATAAATTTATTGTATTGAGCTACTATATGAGGTTATTCAACTGGTAATTTTTTCCTGTTTTGCCAACTTCATTCCAACTTGTAATGGTTAGTTTCTTTTTGTACTACTTTTGAAAGCATTATAAGATACTTTTCAATTCTTTTTTATTTGATGATGCTGCAATCCCTAAATCCAACTTGTCCCTTAGTCACGAATTTAGCACCAATTTTTTCAATTGTGTCATTCAACAGTCTAGAAAATACTGTTTTGGGCAACACACCTCGATTTTTTATTTACCATTTTTGTAAGACACTGCGCCATGCACCTTTAAATGGTCAAAAATATGCTACATCTAAGGGTTGCAGGAAATGATTCGAATTTGGAGATAGGAGAACAAACTTTATGTTATTATTTTGGCACTGTTGCATCCCGCGAATTGTTAAATTACTGCTTTAATGATAACTTAGTCAAACAATAGTCAAAAGTGTTTGGTTGTATCTTGAACCTGGATAACCTCCCTCTATCCACCCAGGATATATATGTTTGGCTTTATACACCACATATAGTGGTAGTAACTTCCCATCTCCTGATGTGGCAAACATGACACTTAGACGTGCCTATTACTCTATGGGCTTGTTTCATTCCACGTTTTAGTACGACTTTTACAGCCCCAGGATCATCTGAAAAATTGGTTTCGTCGTCATTTAATATGTTTGCCATCTTTTAAGCTGTCTTTCAATTCGGCAAAGTATTTTTCTATTACATCATAAGTATGCTCGAACTATTTTGGTGTTTTCGCAAAATTTAATAGTTAGTCTCGGATGCCTGAGCATAAAAGCCTTAAACCATATATATCTCATAGCCCTTCAAAGGAAAACCCCATTCTGCACAGAGTAAGAGCCAATATCTCCTCTTCCAAAAAGTCTAGAACTGGAGGCTTGCCATATGCCAAAAGGTCATCATTTTTCAACCACCGATTTAATGTCGTGTAGGGAACTGCAAATTATTCAGATGCTTTTCTTATGCTCTTGGTTCCTCAACGAACCGCTAATACTGCCCTTTCGAGATATTCTGGATCGTAATTTCGATTTCCCCGTGGCCCAATTTTTTTTATATATTTTCTTGGCGTTTTTCAGTCTAAAATAGGACAATTAAGTAAGCAAAAAACCTGATTCGATTCACCTCAATAAGTTAAAATGTTTCATAAAATAATCCGTAACTAACGAAAAATACCGTCTAAATCAAAAGTAAGGTTATTGCGGCTTTATTACACAAACTTAAGTTTCCATGATACCTACAGCTATTTCTATTTGATGTGTGCAGCAGTTTGTTTTCAGAGTTTATAAAATCAGCAAAAGTTACTCTAAGATTGCAGAATTATTTACAACAAACTTACCTCAGCTATGATGCCTCAAGTATTACCAAACAGAATAACAACAGCTGTTCACCTACCGCAAACTTCCACCCGCATTATTCCCGTTATATTTGGGTTGCATAACTATTTGGACTTTTATCAGTCCAAGTATAGCAGACTCTCCTACACCAAATGCTGGTTCCTTTATAGTTGAGTTTCTTACTTTTTTTTATGGTTGTTACATTTTCTTCTTTATCCGCTGAAGTACCATCTGCATTTTCTCTCGTCGGTTTTTTCTCTTGGTATGGTTCAAATTGCGTCAAATACCAAAAAGATTCGCGGGTGCCATATTGGAACAACACAATAAACCAATAATAGTAATATCGCCAAAAAAACACTTTATTTCTTCATTTGAAACTTGGAAATTAAGATCGCCCTTTTGCTCTACAAAAATGATCATCAAGAAAAAGCTCAAAGCATTCCACCGGATTAAAGGAAATAAGTGCTGATTGCATCAATTTCTCAAAGTTTCCAGAAATAAGACCGGATTTTTGCCAATTTCTTGTTTTCGGTAACTTCGTTTGTATTTCTAACAAAAGTTCTTTGTCAGTATTTGATTTTTCGTCTATCACCAATTGTGAAAGTCAATCCTTGATTTGTAATTTTCAGAACAAAGCTTATGTTATTATTTTGGCACTGTTGAATCACGCAAATTTTTAAATTACTGCTTAAATTGTCCCCAATGATAACTTTGGTTGGTTGGTTTGATTTAAATTATACTGGTTCGGTTGTATTTTGAACCTGGAAGCCTCCCTTTATTCACCCAGGATATATATGATTGGCATATATTTTAAGCTATGTTTCAATTCGGCAAAGTATTTTTCTATAACATCATAAATCACGCCTGCTCGAACTCTTTTGGTGTTTTCGCAAAATTTAATAGTTAGTCTCTGATGCCTGAGCAAAAAAGTTTTAAATCAATCCAAACCGGATAAATTGTCGCAGAACCTTTTCTCTCGTTTTCGTCATTTATTTAAATATTGTTGCACCATGTATCTTACATCATAGCTCTTCAAAGCAAAACCTCATTCTGCACAGAGTAAGAGACCTTCACCCAATATCTCCTCCTCCTCCAAAAAGTTTAGAACTGGAGGCCTGCCATATGCTAAAAGATCGTTGTTTTTCAACCACCAATTTAATGTCGTGTAGGGAATTGCAAATTGTTCAGATGCGATATTCTGGATTACCCAATATTCCGTAACTAACGAAAAATACCGCCTAAATCAAAACTAAGGTTATGGCAGCTTTATTCCACAAAAATAAGTTCCCATGAGACCTACAGCTAGTGGTATTTGATGTGTGCAGCAGTTTGTTTGAAGAATTATTTACAAGAAACTTACCTCAGCTATGATTCCTCAAGCATCACCAAACCGACTAATAACAACAGCTGTTCACCTACCGCAAACTTCCACCCGCATTATTCCCATTATATTTGGGTTGCATAACTATAAGTTAAAAATTGTACTATTGTAAATGGTAGGACTTTTATCAGTACGAGTATAGCAGACTCTCCTACACTAAATGCTGGTTCTTTTATAGTTGGTTTTTTACTTTTCTTGTGGTTGTTACATTTTCTTCTTTATCGGCTGAAGTACCAGTTGCATTTTCTCTCGTCAGTTTTTTTCCTTGGTATGGTTCAAATTGCATCATTTACCCAAAAATTTCGTAGAAGCACCACATCTTGTAACATTCACGAGTGCCATAATACAAGATTCGGTTTTTACCTCCCACCACATTCTATATAATATATGAACAGCACAATAGACAGATAATAGTAGTATGGCCAAAAAACAATTTATTTCTGCATTGGAAACTCTGAAATTAAATTCACCCTTTTGCTTTGCATATAACGTCGTCATTTCTGCCAAAAATGATATAATAATAATAATAATTTTCTTCAGTTTCTCAGGATTCATCAGGACTTGTGCGTGCCAACTTCGTTTGTATTTCTGGAAAATTTTTATTTGTCACTATTTTGATTCTTCGTTGATTTGTAATTTTTGGCATAGCTTCCGCTTGAAGCTGTTAACCATCGAATTATTGATGTCTTTGCAAAAGTCTTGATTGCCGCTATCTTCAGCACCATCATCTGGAGAAGTGATAAAAACATCAGTAACCCAAAAATCTTTGTCTTCTATTACTTGTCTTCTGCAGTTGTGAAGGGTCTGAAATTATTAAAAAACTTTATGGACCTGTTTAGCCAATATTGCAACTTTTGGGAAAAAGTGTTTTTTTTTATACTTATCGTATTTATTATTATAGATGGAAACGTGTTGTTTCCTGCAAAATCATATTGTGGCTAACAACAAAGTGTGGAGGGGGTGTTCCATTATTAGAACTGTGGGCATAAACGGGTTAAACACTTCTTTGTTTAAATTGGTGATAAGATGACACTATCACTAGATATGACACTACAGTCCATAGGGTCCACAGCTCCAACTTCCTTTACTCGAGACTCATAAATATATTTCTGTTGAAAGTTAGTCACATCACAATCTACAAAAACATTTAAAATTTTGAATAACACTTAATCCATAGATTGGATGAATGAGGTAATATTTGGTGTCAAAAATGTTGCAAATATGTTTCCAGAAACCAACTTTGTTATTTTAGCAGTTTAAGTTTTTTAAAGTTATCTTTGACCTGTGGGACAAAGTGGTTTAAAAAACAGTCTTTAAATAATGTAATTAATTAATCAGAGGAATGCATAAAAAAGGACTAACTCTCCGCTATGCAGCGATAAGTTGGAGCAAACCCGAATGATCTTAAGATTGTGTCGGCAAGATAATTCGCCATCGTTGTCTCAAAGCTGATTATCTGATAAGTCGTTTTTCCATCTGAGACGTTTTTACTTTTTGTTTACACCAAATTTGACATTTTCCAGGAGAATGAAGGAAGGAGTTGTTAAGTCTGTATTATTTTTAAGTACTGAGCATTATACAGTGTGTTAATTAATTATCGTACCCGATGTCATCATTGAAAGTATGCAACCAATACTGTGATATTGGTTGCATACTTGCAATATCACAGTATTGGTTGCATACTTGCAATGATGACGTCGTGTACGAAATTAATTAACACATTGTAGATTTTGCTCGCCCAATGAGCTCAAAATCCAAAATCCATATCAAAATATATTTTATATATAAAATTCAAATACCAACTTAAAACATATTGACTCTTAAAACGTTTCATTTTATTGAACACACAATATAATTAATAAAAAAAAATATGATATGGAAAAAGAAAAGATTCAACATTTTTTTCAAGTGCTGTGACAACAAATATTAATGTAAGTTAAGATACGTTTTTAAGGTAGTAAGCGCATGTAAATTCCCCCACACCTTCTTATATACATGTTTTTAATTATTTTTTACATATTTTTTTTACATTTTTATTTTAACGTGTTTTTTTTATAAATATTTAGTTACGTTTCATTTGTTTATTACTAATTAGAAGTTAATTTATTATTTTTGTCCATCGAAAACGATATTCTAAAATGAAAACACGCACGGCGTTCGCGTTCGGTAGATTTTTGTAATCGTAAGAATCATATCACACGCGTCAAGATATACTAAAAATGATATAAAAGCAGTTTCTTTCTATGTATAAAGCGAATCTGCAATTGGGACCTCAGAACGAGTGCATCAAACTTTTTTTATTAGGAAATTGTATAATAAACAAACAAATAGTGTTTAATAATCTGTACATAATATAAAAAAATGATTAATTAGAGAAGTTGTTTTTTTATTTATTATCAATTTGATATGGATTTCAAAAAGGATAGCAAATTAATTGATTTCGAAAATTAGATTATCTTGTATATAAAATTAATAACCAAATAGCAATATAGAATTAATATTAAAATTGAGAACAAAAAAAAACAATATTTAATATTAATGATATATTTAAAATATTATTGCAAATGAAACGTAATAAAATTAAGTGGGTTTATCGCGTAATGATTTAAATTAAAAAAACTATAAACTAAATGTACTCTACAAAATAAAAAATAATTAGATTAAGTGTGTTATGAAATTATTTTAACCTTTTTCTTCTATACAATTTGTTTCTTTCAAATGAATTATTAATTTTTTAATTTTGTTGAAAAAGGTCAAAATAGTTTCGAACACACGTCTCGAATCGAACTCTCGAGAGTTCCAAATCGAATTAGGGAATCAAAGATTGGCTGGCTCCAGCCGGTTTTACTACCACCGTATTAGGATCTCAAGTAGTAGAGGTAGGCCTTTGACTTTCCGTTTGAACCTTCCAAGCATCGACATTCCAAAAAAATGCAATCTCTTCGATTCCTCAGTATTCCTTGTGGATTTCGGACATCCCACTCTCGTTCCTCGATCTCTTTACCATCGACTCCCTTTTCTTATCACTTTCCATGACCAAAACCCTGTCGGTTATGACAAACCTCCAAATAAAAAATATCCCTCTTTTTATATTATAAATGATAACCACACTCCCGCGTGTACTTAGACTTACGCAGGCGAAAGGAAATTATTGTTGTACTCTTTAGTTTATTATTATTATTATTAATATTATTTTTTTTTTTTCGATACCATTCGTTCGAGAGAGTTTATATATTATATATAAATATTATATATTAAAATAAATATATAATAATATATAATATATAATATATATAAGAATATTATATATTAAAATAAATATATAATAATATATTTTATTGTTTTATTTAAACGAAATCAATAAAATAGAAATAAAATCAATAACGCCATATGAGAAAATTAAATTTTTTAAATTTAGATGTGACATCTTCTATCTGATAGCGGAACTAACCATATTTAGAAAAGTTACAAACCAAACCCATTAGGGTTTGCAACTTAACTAAAGCAATTTTTGATAAAATTGACATTTCTATGTTTTTATTTATGCAGTGTATTTCACTTAAGAAGCAATATACAAAAATATAAAAAAAAGATAAAATAAAATTAAAAAAATATTAAAATATAAAGCGAAATATTAAGTTATAATTTTATTATTGTTAGGTTATCCAACTTGACTCGGTTACCATGGTGATTAAGATCCAAATATTGCAGGTGCTTGTCAAAATTGAAATTGAATTTAAGTGTTTTTAAGGAAAAAGTCTTATTTAATTGGTTTAAAAGGATGTCTTTCAATCAAAATTGGTTTATCTAGGGAATTATAAACAAGGTAAGTGGATTAAATCAAAAAAAATATTTATAAATTAATTAAAATGTACAAGAATTTAGGGTTAAATAACAATTAAAACTAGAACTAACACTACACCTAGAACTAGAAAGTTTTAGGTTTAGCCGGGCGTCTGAGACAAGAACTTAGAAAAGTCTGAAGACGCATTTCAAAGGATTTTTCACGACAATTACAAATATGTCAAAATTGACGTTGACATTTCTAATCGGAAGTTGACCATAACTTCGTTAATATTGAAGATAAATATGTCGTGTTTGTACTCATTTTAAAGGATATTTAATGAAGATTACAAATATGTCAAAATTAAGGTTGACATTTTAAACCTGAAGTCAGTTATCATATAATAGACAAATGGACAACTTCATGGTGTTCTTTCATGATGTATTCTTTATTAAAAAAAAACCTTTAAAATGAGTCCAAACATGACGCACTTATCTCAAAAAAGTTTGAATAAAAAAACGTTAAACCCGAAGTTAGCAACAATGAAGATAGCAATTTAATTATTAAATATAGTTCGTTTTTTTTCTATAATACTTGTCAATGTAAATTATTTAGGGTTTCTGTTGGTATTATCTAAGACCCTTATAAAATTTATGTTGTTTTCATGATTTTTAGTAACATTTTCAGTAACTAAATAGTTGAGGTTAAAATACTAATTAATTTTTAGATAAATACGATTTTAACGAAGTAAATATTTGTTGTAAAAACGTGCTACAAAGTAATTAAATAGAATAAAATACCTTTTCTATGTAAATAAATGGCAAATAAACACCCCACAACATTTTTTATGCACCTTTTCTTTTTGAATAACGAAAGCTCAAACGTCAGTGTGACATATTTATTTCAAAACATGATAAAACAAAACTCCCTGTTAATTTTGTCAACTTTACAACAATTTGACAGGTATTATAGAAAAAAAATGAACTATATTAATACCAACCTTAATTTTTAATTTTTCTTTATTGAATTTTTGTTTTTGTAATAAATTTTAAGACATTTTATAAAAATTAATAATTTGTCAAAATGACATTGACATTTCAAACCGGAGGTTGCTTATATCTCGACTACTATTGGAATTAAACGTATCATGTTTGGGCTCATTTTAAAGGATTTTTCACGACAATTACAAATATGTCAAAATTGACGTTGACATTTCTAACCGGAAGTTGACTACAACTTCATTAATATTGAAAATAAATATGTCGTGTTTGTACTCATTTTAAAGGATTTTTAATGAAGATTACAAATAAGTATGTCAACATTGAGGTTGACATTTTAAATCTGAAGTTACTTATCATATAATAGACAAATGGACAACTTCATGGTGTTCTTTTATGATGTATTCTTTATTAAAAAGAACAATTAAATTGAGTCGAAACATGATGTTGCTAGATATCACTATGTTGTATATTTTTATTGCACTAAAACTAGAACTAACACTAGATCTAGAACTAGAATCATTCGGGTTCGGCCGCACGTCTCAAAAGACGGCTAAATCCGAATGATTCTAGTTCTAGTCATCAAATACTACCACTAGAACCAACACTAGACCTAGAACTAGAAACAATCGGGTTTAGCCGTCTTTTGAGACGTATGGCTTAACCCGAATGTTTCTAGTTCTTGTGGTTCTAGTGATCTAATACTAACCATAGTATATTATATAACAGTCAGTACTCTCACTCAGTGGCGGCACGTTTGATGTGGCGAATTGATTTTCAATGACCTCGAAGCCATTATGCTGACATAAAACACAACAAGTCCCCATTAAAAATATTTAAAGCGTCGAAAATATGAAATTAAAAAAGTTATTCGCAATTAAATTTCTGAACTGATAAAAACATTAGTTATTGAGTGACACTAATAACGTCATTATTTATAATGTTTGATATTTTATTTTAATTTTTACACTTGTCGTTACGGCTCTGCACAAAAACAAACCTCACAGACACACTGGCGATTAGCAAGATTTAAGCCAGCGTAATGGCCGCTCGCCTGCGTAATGAGGGCTGCGCATATCTTCTCACAAAACCGAGTGAGAGTACTGTCTGTTATATATACTGTGCTAACACTACCACTAGAACCAACACTAGATCTAGAACTAGAATCATTCGGGTTTAACCATATATCTCAAAAGACGGCTAAATCCGAATGATTCTAGTTCTAGTGATCGAATACTAACAGTATCACTAGAACCAACACTAGAAACATTCGGGTTCAACCGCACGTCTTAAAGGACGGCTAAACCCGAATATTTCTAGTTCTAGGGTTGGTTCTAGTGATCTAATACTAACACTATTACTAGAACCAACACTAGGTTTAGAACTAGAAGCATTCGGGTTTAGCCGCACGTCTCAAAAGACGGCTAAACCCAAATGTTTCCAGTTCTAATTCTAGTGTTAGTTCTAGTTTTAGTTCAATAACAAGATGCAATCCAGCGTTGTCGAGTGCTTAATACCGCTACTTAACATTGTCACTAGAACAATGTTGCCACACGTCTCAAAAGACGGCTAAACCTGAATGATTCTAGTTCTAGGTCTAATGTTGGTTCTACTGATCAAATACTAACACTATCACTAGAACTAGAATCATTCAGGTTTAGCCATACGTCTCGTAACACGGCTAAATTCTTGGTTCTAGTGATCTAATACTAATACTAACACTATGGCTAGAACTAACACTAAATCTAGAACTAGAAACATTCGGGTTTAGCGACACGTGTCAAAAGACGGCTAAACCCGAATGTTTCTAGTTCTAGGTCTAGTGTTAGTTCTACTTTTAGTTCAATAAAAATATACAACAATCTAGCACTGAATAAAAATTAAAACTAGAACTACCGTCCTTTATTTATACACCATCTAGACAACTTGGGGAATACCCCAAGTTTATCTATGAATGTGAATTACAGCAATTATTAATGTATACAGGGGAATATTTGACATGATGAGAAGATAGTTTCGCCAGTTATTTTTAGATTTTTTTTCCAACAGATGGCGCTACCTCATATGCATCTTTTTTAAGTGACATTTTTGACGTGTCAATAAAAAAATGTATTTAACTCATTTTGTGTTAGAAATAAAACTAAAACTAGAAATTTTGAGGTTATGTCGTGTTAGAACGACGTATGGCATAACCTCCCAAAATTTTTAGTTTTATTTCTTATTCCATCGGCAGATAAGTGTCAGAAAATTTTACGACTAAAATAATTTTTCGTTTAAAAGTTTTCAACCCTGCCGTTACCATGGTGATTTATCAATAGTCACCGACATCTTTAAAAAAAATCACTTGTTGCATCAAGAGAAAGTTTATAATAATTATCGCAATTATATTAATCAATTTTCGCATTAAATGAAGTTGGAGGATTCGCTTTTAAGGGAGAGTAAGTACATTCAACTTTTGTAACGAATTAGTTATTATTGCGTTTGAAAAATTGTGTTATTCATTTTTCTCAATCTAACCTAACTTTTATTTATATCATGTAGCGTTAGAAATAAAACTAAAACCATCGAGATATACTATATTTACAAAGTATATATATCTCGATGACTAAAACTACAAATTTTGAGGTTATGACGTGTGTCTTTCTAACGCTAAATTAAATCAAATTTTCTTTAATGAAACGTCAAAAAATGTCACTTGAAAGGGTGAGGTTAGGTTGCGTTGAAAAAGTCAGGTTTTCAGTAAATCAATACGGCCGTTTTCGAAGACTTTGGCCGCCCCAGGCCATCACGGATTTCAAGACAGAGTAAATGGACATTTAGTGCTTTCGAGGGCGGCCGACGTCTTCGAAGTCGGCCGAGTTTGCTTTTTGTAGTTGTTTTTAACGAGATTAGTTCTTATAAATCGCTAAAATGTTATAAAAGGGATTAATGTAGTGCGATTAAGTTGTAAAAGTGAAGTTACATATAATCATATGTAACCCCCCTGTCTAATTTGAAAACGGCTAATGACAACCTAAATAATTTAGCATAAAAGATTGTTTATCACTTTTAGGCTTTTAGTTTTTCCAGAAAATGAATCAACTTTGTTTTTTCAAATGGAACCCCCTGTGTTGTAACATTTTCTGATAGAGCTAGAAAATACGAATCCAATGATATCCGCAATCAAATATTGGTTAATTACTTTTTATGATATTAATTAATAAAAATTCTACTTAGCCCAGTTGCAAACCTTCGCGATTTTATACATTCAAAATAGAGTTCTGCCATCTATTATCCGATAGCAGAACTAACAATACTTAGACTTCTACTAAACAATAGATGACGCTGGTAAAATCAAGCATACTTAAAACTCCATCTACACACTACATTGACAAAGTATTTGTAATAAATTTGGAATCAAATGGAAAAGGAGATATTAAGATTGTGTTTATTAACAAAACATTTATATCATTAAAATTCAGAACAGTTTATTTAAAGAAAAAAAAACAATAAGATACGTATCAATTGCAAACAAATTATTATTAGTACATGTTTTTTCGTGTTTTTACAAATATGCAATTGACAAAAATGGCTAAAATTAAGTTATACACATCACCAATTAATAAAAGATACAATTTTTCTTAAAAACATCTTCCAGCGATGTTTATTCAACATTTTTTCTTAAACTTGACTATAAAAATAGAAGTACAACAAGTTGTACATAAACATAAAAAGTATAGGTTCTTCCACGTTAATTCATAACGAATGTTTATAGAAATAAAATATCGATAAAGGTGATAACGATCATTACTTAATTAAATTAAAAAATATAGGGTATCCAATATGGAGACCTTTTACATTTATTAGAATCTTTTTAAGAAAAGCTTTCTACACATGCCACACATGCTAAAATAAAAAGCTTTTTAATTACACAAAAATAATTAAAATCATCAATTTTCCTAACGTTTACTTAACATAACCTTCATAAGACTATCCCTAAACCTATCGACGGTCTTTTGCAATTCCTCAACTTCCGCCTTCAACCTAACATTTCTCTCCTCCTCGAGAGACAACTCATCCACAACTTTCATCTCTTTCTGTTTCCTTTTATATCTAGACCGTCGCGATGCCTCATTATTTCTATCCCTCATTTCGCGATATCGTGCTTCTTGCGGTTCTAACTGACTATAATCATCAGAAGATATCGATTTCCCCCTTTTTGGCGGTCTACCACGTTTCGGCTTTTTCACAATCGACTCTTCTTCTTCAGCGGGAATGTAGTCTTTATCATTTTCATCATCCACAAAATCTTCATCTGAATCATCATCATCATATCGGCGTTTTTTCGATTTTTTTGATGAAGAAGCAGGTGAGGATATCGAAGATAATGGTGAAGATACTTCTGAATTTATGAAGGATGCTATACTGTTTGATGTACTTGGTATGTCTTCAGCAATTACGTTTGTTAGAGTAACCTATTTTGAAAAAAATTAATTTGTTTAGTATAATATATAGATAGTATAATAATATAGAGTAAAACCTCAATATAATGGACTATTATCATAAAAATATATAACATCCTGGAGGTGAATTATAAATAAAACTAGAACTAACACTAGACCTAGAACTAGAAATATTCGGATTTAGCGCGAAACTTTCTAGTTCTAGGTCTAGCGTTAGTTCTAGTTTTAGTTTAATAACAATATACAATCTAGCGCGAATCTATCGAGTACTTAATAGTGCTACCTAACACTGCCACTAGAACCAACACTAGACCTAGAACTAGAATCATTCGGGTTTAGCCACACGTCTCAAAAGACGGCTAAACCCGAATGTTTCTAGATCTAGGTCTAGTGTTGGTTCTAGTGATAATGGTAGTATTTGATCACTAGAACCAATTCTACAACTAGAATCATTCGGGTTTAGCCATACGTCTGTTAAGACGGCTAAATCCGAATGATTCTAGTTCTAGTGTTAGTTCTACTATTGCACTAGCAATTTTTGTTTTTAAGTAAGATTTCTTTGCAAAATAATCATAAACAATTAAAAATAACTTTTTAGAGTTGCCGAAGCTTTAATTTCCGCAGCGATGAGTGTCGGTGGAATTATGGATTTCGCACCAAACTTACAAAAAGGTATTATTGCAGCAAATAAAATGTCTAGTTTGGTGAAGAGACTCCCGGAAATTCAAGATGATGAAAATTCAACTAGTACAGGATGGGTAAGATTATATTGTTTCTTAAAAACTTATTAATTATTATTCAGCGCAATTTTTTTATTTTCTTTTATTCCTAAATTGTTGGAAATTACCTAAGGAACACGATAACTAAATTTAATTCAAATTTGTCAGAAGCAAAAAAAATTACACGACTGCAAAGAGTAACTCTAAATTTGCAATTTTAATTTTTGAAAATTTTTTTGCTTCTAAAATGTATAAAATATCCTCTGTAACACGACTAATACACACATTTCAATTTTGGCAATGACAAATATATTTTATCCGTTATATTCGAAATCCGTTCTAACGAGATTTTACTGTAGTGATAGTGTTTAGATGTGTAGGTTGTATATTTTTATTAAACTAAAACTAGAACGAACACTAGAATTAGAACTAGAAACATTTGGATTTAGTCATCTTATGAGACGCACGGCTAAACCCGAAAATTTCTAAGTCTAGTGTTAGTTCTAGTTTTAATTGTTATGCAGCGCTAGACCAAGAACTAGAATCTAGGTCTAATCTAGGTCGAACGAAAGATAGTTTTTCCAATAACAAAAAATCAATTAATATTTTCCACAAAATAATGTTAAGTCAAAAGACAGATTTCGTCAAAATCTAAATGAAATAGGAACCCCGTTGACTAGACCAGAGTATTATTGCTTATTATTTCCGTAAAATATTGCGAAAAATGTTGAGAGATTAGCATAAACTTTTACAAATTCTGCAACTTGGTTGAAAAAGATGCAGCACATATTAGATAACTGATTCCAGAAAGTTCAGAATCAGTTCTAAGCGTTTAGACAACGTTGAGGTTGGACTTTATTCTATTGTCATACTTACAATAGATTCTGGTGTTATTCAAAGCTGCGTTTTCTATCTTTTGGCAAATACTAAAACATATCAGACTTAGTTTTGAGTCTTCACATAAAATTATGCAAGTTGGTAGGAAAAGAACTAACACTATACCTAGAACTAGAATCATTTGGGTTTAGCCATACGTCTCTTAAGACGGCTAAACCCGAATGTTTCTAGTTCTAGATCTAGTGTCAGTTCTAGTTTTAGTTCAATAACAAGGTACAATCAGGACCTAGAACTAGAATCATTTGGGTTTAGCCATACGTCTCTTAAGACGGCTAAATCCGAATGATTCTAGTTCTAAGTTTAGTGATCAAATACTACCACTATCACTAGAACCGATTCTAGTTCTAGTATTGGTTCTAGTGATAATGGTGGTATTTGATAACTAGAACCAACACTAAACCTAGAACTAGAAACATTCGGGTTTAGCTGCACGTCTCAAAAGACGGCTAAACCCAAACGTTTCTAGTTCTAAGTCTAGTGTTAGTTCTACTTTTAGTTCAATAAAAATGTACAACTATTTAGCGCTGAATAAAAATTGAAACTATAGTTCGTTTATCGAAGAGATACAGCGATTTGAAATTACAACTCCTTCCACAAATACGCGCAAAATTTGAATAGAATTTTTCTGTTGGTAAGCCCGGTTTATAAAGGTCAATCAAGAACAGCTTTATTTCTTAGTCTTTTCTTTGTCGTATACGTTTATTTTTTTCGTTGTATGTATTTTTTTTTGTGTGTGAAACTGGCTATTGTATAATAGTGGGGGAAATAGGTGTGGCTTCGCTCAGGTTCACTGCATCTGTTTGGTGAACAGAATATAGAACTACTGTCCACTATTTATACACCATATAGACAACTCGGGGAATACCCCAAGTTTATGTTGAATATGAGATAGAGCAATTATATAGTATATACAGGGTGATTCAAAAAACCGCTGACAGACTTCTAGAGTAGATACATGAAAAATTAAGATGAATAGTCTTAATATACATAGTTTTTGATTGGATTAATAAATTTTCTATAAACGTGTTTTTCTTAAAAACTATTGCTTTGATCAAAGTTTTGTAAGAGACCGATTGATAGATGGCGTTGAAAATATTAAAAAAAAAATCTTTTTATTGCAGATAAGGTTTAATTTTAAAGAAACTTTGACCCGCTATATCTCATTAAGGAGGCATTTGCGACCTCATGAATATTAAGACTTTTCATCTTAATTTTTGATGTATTACCTGCCCTAGAAGTCTGTCAGCGGTTTTCTTTGAATCACCCTGTATATAAATGAAATAAAAATATTTTTATATCTAAAGTCCATTCTAATGAGATTCCGTTATATCGAAGTTTTACTATATACAGGTGTTCCACGCAAGCAACAAAGAACGTAAATGGCATTAAGGAGCCGCGATACGCAGTTCTTCCTTAGACAAAAGTTGTAGAGTAAAATAGACATATTATGTTTTAAGGAATGATATAGTTTTTATTGTGTATTCTAATTCCACACACAAAACTAAGTGACTTTGGTAAGATATGTTGATACCTAGTGCTTTTAGTTTTTGAGTTATTTCAATTAGATTTTTTTTTTTAGCAATTAACACTGTGCCCTTCAAATCTGAATTTCTTGGCGACTGATCAAGCTAGAAAGTTAAAATTTGTGACAGTTGCTGCTTAGATATCCTTAAATAGAGTGCCATTGGCAACACTGATTTTTCTTATACAGAGCGTTCAAAAATGTAACCCCTGTTTTACCACATTCAATTGCAAAAAAAGTCGAAAATTTTAAATGGAAATATATTTGATTAACTTATCAGATAGAGAATGAATCAAAGTCATACAAAGAATGATTTTATTTATTTTTTTCTATTAGTAGGCCATGAAATATATTTAGCATTTGACAGCTTTCAAGTGATGCCGCCATAATTGTAATTTCACAGATGGTAGAACTGCGTATCTTGGCTCCTTACTGCTATTCATGTACTTTGTCGCTTACATGGGACACCCTGTATATACATAAAATAACTAATTCTTTTTCTTACCGTTTTAGGTAAATGATTCTCTTTATTATTCGTTGGTATTTGAAACTTTTCAAATTCCATAATAGAATCGATGATGTCCGGTGTGTGAAGCGCATCATCTTGAAAGATTCCAATAGATGATAAGTCCATTTTGGGTAATTGAAAGATTTTACCATCGTTGTTCATGGTTCCTAGACTTATGATGGGTCCGTTACTGTTATCGGGCGTATCGTAAAAAATTTCTTCTTTAACGACATCGCGAGACGCGATCGCGGCACCACCGTTTAACGCGGTATTATTATCGTCTAAAATAAAGTTATCACCGAACGAAAAGTCTAGCGTTTGGACACTATCGATGTTTGCGCCATCGGTGGCGTCAATACCATAAGGTGTTCGAATGAAAAATTCTTCATCCATATTATCCGCGGTTGATGGTGATTGAGCGGCCGATAAAATATCTGTATTATTATTATTATTGTTGTTGTTATTTTTATTCGTATTTGAATTTTCGTGTTGATTTTCGATCTTAGTATTTATAACGATATAATTTTCTCTTGCAGCTACGTCGAACGTAGATTCAATTTTACCAACTAAAAAAAAATCAAATTCATTAATTTCTTATTAATAATTAATTCATTAATTAATTAATATTACAATTATTGATGAATAATTCATCCGAGTTGTCGAATGATAGAAGTGGTTTGAGATCCACGCACTCCTCCTGAAGTGTGGACTCTACAACTGTATGATTTGACTGTTGATCCTCCGCGTCGTCGACGCCTGGAAATTGAGTCGCAAATGACTCGAGCAAAAGATTGACGTCGATTGTTGACTCGAATTCCTCCAAAAGCGTTCCTCCTAGGAACTGTTGGGGCTCGGATCTCTCGGAAAGATCTGGTTTCGTGAACTCCGTCGATATCGGTGTGTGGTTCGTAAATTGAATCCCGTCTCGTGCAGAATTGAGCGGGTGTGTTCCTGTAGACCGCCATGGTAAATGGAACTGAAACGTTGAGGATATTCCTTTAAAACGTGACGAGCACATTTTTACAAAAATTTTTTATCCTTTTTTGTATAATAATTTTTTTTTAATTAGAATTAAGAAAACATACGATTTAATGCACAATTTGTTGATGAATTTTCCTTCGACGAATTTTATGTTTATAACTTATCTAAATTGGAAATAATTGATGAAAAATACTAAACCATACACAATGAGATAAGACAAGAATTGAACAAAAAAACATTCATTTAAAAACAACGACGATTATTTGTAATCTTCCTCCGGGATTATTTGTTCTTTTCTTATCTTTTTTGGTTAACGAAAATAGTGATTCGACATTTCCTTTTTTACAATGATTTCTCGGACTTTTTTTATGTAATCGTATGTGAGTAAGCACTTACTAGATATCGGTTATTGGTTTCCTTAAAAATGTTGAACTTTGCTTTCGTTCAGCACAAGAAGAGTTGAGTGTCTTGGACCCCCAACCTGTAACAAAAAAATAGAAAAATAAATCAGTAATTAATAATAAATTAGATTTAAACAAAGAAATTAATTTAAAAGCTTATCTAATCTAAAAGGTAGCTTTTATTATTTATTAAATACAATCAGATACATTAATTTATTCCTTTTTGAGTTTTACAAATACAAATTTATTACACCAAATTAATTTCTAAAGTCTTTCTATCAAAAGTCAAGTTTTTAGTTATACGTCTAGTACTAATACTAACACAATCACTAGAACCAACACTAGATCTAGAACTAGAAACATTCGGGTTTAGCCGAACGTCTCAAAAGACGGCTAAACCCGAATGATTCTAGTTCTAGGTCTAGTGTTCAAATACTATCACTATCACTAGAAGCAACACTAGACCTAGAATCATTCGGATTTAGCTGCAACTCTCAAAAGACGGCTAAACCCGAATGCTTCTAGTTCTAGTGTTAGTTCTACTTTTAGTTCAATAAAAATATACAAGAACCTAGTGCTGAATAACAATTAAAACTAGAACTAACACTAGACCTAGAACTAGGAACGTTTGGGTTTAGCCGTGCATCTGAAGACTTCCTGAAGACTTACTTCTATAACAATTTGGCGCTACAGAGTGCTTAAAGCGCTACCTAACACTGTTACTAGAACTAACATTCGATGTAGAACTAGAATCATTCGGGTTTAGCCGAACGTCTCAAAAGACGGCTAAACCCGAATGCTTCTAGTTCTAGATCTAGTGATAGTGTTAGTATTAGATCACTAGACCTAGAAACATTCGGATTTAGCCGTCTTTTGAGACTTGCGGTTAAATCCGAATGATTCTAGTTCTAGTGTTCAAATACTACCACTATCACTAGAAGCAACACTAGACCTAGAATTATTCGGATTTAGCCGGAAGTCTCAAAAGACGACTAAACCCGATTATTTCTATCATCTTATCTAATCTAAAAGGTAGCTTTTATTATTTATTGAATACAATCAGATACAATAATTTATTGCTTTTTTTAACTCAAAAACTTATTACACTAAATCAATTTCGAAAGTCTTTCTATCATAAGTCTAGTTTTTAGTTCTAGGTCTAGTGATCTAATACTAACACTATCACTAGAACCAACACTAGATCTAGAACTAGAAACATTCGGGTTTAGCAGTCTTTTGAGACTTGCGGCTAAATCCGAATGATTCTAGTTCTAATGTTCAAATACTACCATTATCACTAGAAACAACACTAGACCTAGAATCATTCGGATTTAGCCGCAACTCTCAAAAGACGGCTAAACTCGAATGCTTCTAGTTCTAGTGTTAGTTCTGCTTTTAGTTCAATAAAAATATACAACAACCTAGTGCTGAATAACAATTAAAACTAGAACACTAGACCTAGAAAGTTTTGGGTTTAGCCGGCTAAACCCAAATGTTTCTAAGTCTAGTGTTAGTTCTAGTTTTACTTCTATAACAATTTAGCGCTATAGAGTGCTTAATAACGCTACCTAACACTGTTACTAGAACAAACACTCGATCTAGAACTAGAATCATTCGGGTTTAGCCGAACGTCTCAAAAGACGGCTAAACCCGAATGCTTCTAGTTCTAGATCTAGTGTTGGTTCTAGTGATAGTGTTAGTATTAGATCACTATACCTAGAAACATTCGGATTTAGCCGTCTTTTGAGACTTGCGGTTAAATCCGAATGATTCTAGTTCTAGGTCTAGTGTTCAAATACTACCATTATCACTAGAACCAACACTAGACCTAGAATCATTCGGATTTTGCCGGAAGTCTCAAAAACCCGATTATTTCTATCATCTTATCTAATCTAAAAAGTAGCTTTTATTATTTATTGACTACAATCAGACGAGATTTAATTTAATTAATGGATAAATTTATTTGATAAAAAATCATTATCATAATTTATTATCTTTTAGAGTTTTACAGATACAAATTTATTACACGAAATCTTTTATTACCACAACTTGACTACCGATTTTAATATTAGCCATCTTCAGGTCAAATAACAAGACTAAGAAATACCATATAGCGCGACTCCGTCTGTTAAAGTAGCCGAATATCTTACAAATAAAATTGATATAGCAATTAGGTTGTGACACGAACCTGGAATGATGCAGGAAATAAACTTAAATAGGTTGAGATCAACTAACTGGTACGAGACGTATAGGAGCTTGACGAAGAACTTGGATAGAATTCAAGCAAATAAGATAAAGTTGGTGCTATCAAAAATAATTTGATGCCGTTCCTTGTTCAAAACGTCTGCACTTAAAAATACAAAAGAGGCACATTTTTCACAATTTGTACAAGAATGAATGCGTTGGATTAACTAAAGAAAGTTCCTTCTAGTCAATTTTGAAGTCCAGAAAAAAAAGAATTAAGGTTGAAGGCAAAGAAATGATGTATTACAACTTAGTACCATTTTCGTTTTGAGGTAATAAACAATTACAAATAAAGATATTTAAGTCGCAACGCTCAGCTTTTCAACTTCATGCAATAACTCGATGCCAAAATGAGCAAAGAATTTTTAGGTGATACACTGAAGATGGGGAACAAAATTCTCAGTGCATTTGCATTACTGATCTGCTATCGTAAACCTAAAACACCACTTGGAAACAATGACTAATGTTTTTTAGTTTTGTTCTTTGCTGCTATTATTTTACTATATGTCGCCGGTTCTGGTCTCTATTGTCTGATGAGTTCTACAAAACCTCTTCGCTTCATTCTACTTGATCTGCTCCCAGTTCTTCTTCATAGTAAACCAGCTATCTTTCAAAATATTTTGCCTTGCTTCGTTAGAATTCGATCCTCTTGGTCCATGCACTTTGTAGTCCTAGCTTCCTTTCCTGTCCCTATTCTGGTAGAATTTCTTCTGTTCAACTGTGTTCTTCGTCTTTCTAATTTCCTAAGTTCACCATTTTCACATTTCGCTATTTCTTCCGTGTTCTATACTTCTTCTTCGTTTGTCTGGATCTACACTGCTGTGACACTCAGCAAACTAGTCCATTGAACAACCCCTTTGGTGTTCTTTGAAATAATAGAGTTTCTTCTGCAACCTCATAGATGCTAGGCCTATTTGGGTTCAAGAGCTTTGTAGTTCCAAACATCTTTGAACCTTTCTGCACATACATATTACATATTATACGTATTGCCATTGCTTCCGCTCTCATCAACCCTAATTTTGCTTGCCACTGAGATTGGTTATCAGGGGTCACTAATTTTGAAGCGAGAGTCAGAAGTGAGTAATAAGCTGTATCCTAAGGGCGTCACTTGGCCACTTCTCCTAACGTTGACACCATAAAAGCTTATAATTTGCTATAACCTAACCTCAAACATTTATTTACAACCTCAAAGCTTTTTTTTAATAAATGTCAATTTGAAATTGACGGTTTTTAAATACATTTGTTAACTCGGAATACCCGACTATGTTGAAATGGCATAGATACCAAATATTTGGATGATTATATTCTCATAAATCATCGATACATATTTTAGATGTAACACTATAAAGAAACTAAAATAAAATCGTAGTTGAAATGAACACCGATTTATAGGATTTTCCAATTAATTGATATGGAATTACACTTGACCAAGAAAATAAATAGCAACTATAATTTTTTATCTAACGAAATTGACTACAAGTTAGAAATAAAACTAAAACTGTTTGACATTTCAGCTGTCATGTTGCTATTTAGTTGTGTGGAGAAATCCTTAAACGAATCCAATCCTCTTTATTGATGTTTATGATGTCTCTGGTCATCCTTTGGTGGTAGTTTTTGACAAATTTGACTTTTTCTAAAAATGGCGAACGTTTACAAAACACGTTTGAAGTTGGTTTTGCGCTCACTAGAAGTGTTTTGAACAATTCAGGTCTTGTTTTCAAACGTTGGAAGTTAGTGAACGTGTTAAATAATAGTTGATTTGATTGTAAACTCTTTATTGGTTGAAATGCGACTTTTTTTTAAAATATACTATATAGCGAATTTCATATAACTCGCAAAATATGAATACAGCTACCATAGTTACGAAACTACTATGCATTTGCACTGTCCCACAGAAAATACAACATAGCTTAATAGTACAGGCATTGTGTGTACAGACTTGTGTTAGTTCTAGTGATAGTACAATACTAGAACTAACACTAGACCAAGAACTAGAATCATTCGGGTTTAGCCGTCTTAAGAGACTTACGGCTAAACTGATTCTAGTTCTTGGTCTAGTGTTAGTTCTTGTGTAAAACTAACACTAGACCAAGAACTAGAATCATTCGGATTTAGCCGCACGTCGCTTAAGACGGCTAAACCCGAATGATTCTAGTTCTAGGTCTTATGTTAGTGCAATACTAGAACTATTATTATTAGTATTAATTGTCACTAGAACAAACATTCAAACGTGTTGCATGTTATGTGGGACAAAGTAATTAGGTACACCCTGGTTTCCTAGAAAATATATTTTTGTATATTGCATTTTAAGTGAAATTCACTGTATATTAAAATATTTATGTACTGAGTAAACAGATGGAATTAATGGCTATTAAACTTGCTGCAGATTTTCTTCTAATATCTAATGAGCAATCTTTATAAATTTCAGAGTGAAGATTAAAAAGAGAACCAGCTCTCAGGTAATAATTATGGATTGTACTTGATATGGGAGAAGACTTCTATACTAAATCGAATGACATTGGAGCACCCCAGCAACAAGCAAATAGGTAACATATTTAGGTCCCAATAACTAATAAATAATCTTTTAATGGTCTAACTTCACTATGACTTATTATGGACCACCATTAATGATATAGCCATTCTAGAGCTAATCTAAGGCCACAACATTGGTATTAAAGTAAATCGGTTTCCGATTTTAATTGACAATTCTATTAAATAAAATGTTTACAGAGCAGTAAGCAAAAGACACTTGATAAATGAGAATGGTCGACCAATGATGGCCTATTGTGTGGATATATCTCCTAACCACAGCTTAGGTTATTTGTGCAAAATAGCCACACATGTTTTGATGTGTGGAGTCCAACTGCTCACAAAGATTTTTGCCACCATAATCTCCATCACTTATGACCACTGAATCCTAGGAATGACCAATCTGCCATATTCAAAAATTTTTTGGCTTTGCCAAGATTTTAACCTCAATAATTAAAGATTTAATTCAAATAGTTCAAGGTTTACAAGAAATATTTTTAGTCTTTTTATAAAAACAAACAAGTTCAACGATTTTCCTTGAATATTAATTAAATTTATCATCTAAATCACAATCTTTTCATTAACACATCGAAAAACATTCTTTAGCATAAAATTAGACTGTTATTGCTAATAAAAAAATCTTCTTTGTATAAAAAAATAAAACCGATTACACATCTAAAATTAAATTAATCAAAATTTTAATCGTAACAAGAACATTTTATAAATCTCATAAATAGAGTAAAAATGCAATAAAGGAGCAAGTTTTTATTTAAAATATAAAACAACATATTGTTATGACGATATCTTTGAAACGTGTTCAGACTTGTCTAAAATACCTTTGAGGGGCCCCACAAAGGTCGCGTCTCCCATTGACGTCACGGAATTTCCCCCAACACGGGTCGATAAAAAAAGACGGAAATTATTGCGCAACATTTCACAATAATTTCAAAGAAAACATCATTAACCCACGAAATCATTAAAATAAAAAAACTTACTCCGATTAATTCGCAAAGTTTCGCCTTATAACCTTCTTTTTCACTTAACCTTTTCTTAGTGTTTAAACAATCACCACAAAAAGCGCTTTAATCGCAGCTAACTTAACACCACAAAAATGATCTCTCTCTCTCTCTCCTATGTACGCACAACAACGGGTAGGACGATCTACCCTTAAGCGCTTCACTGACTCGAATGACGTCTGGCGACCTTCGTATCCGTTAGTCTATTATTCTATCCCCTCCACGAAATCGCCTACTTAAATTTTGCTTACGTAGGGGAAAGTGGGAGTTAAAAGGTTTCGATTGGTTCAAATTACGTCACACCGATCAAATGGGCGCTGGCGGTCATGTGATATAGGTGATTCATGAGGTTTTCCAGGAAAGAAATTTTTTTTAAGGAATTTCTCTTTTGAGAGCAAAATTTGATTATCGGTTGGGAGTGAAAAATAAATAATGATTTTGCAAAAAAGATTGGAATTTTAATTTATTACTAATTAAATTTAAGCGAATAATTAATTTTTATTAATATGACAGAATATGATTAGGTTATGAAATGTGTCAAATTAAAATTTTTTATAGGTTAACTTTTTAAATTTGGTTTTGAAGACGAAACTTTTAAAATTATTGTGTAATTAGAAAAAATAAGATCAACACTTCAAAAATAGAAACGTTTTGTTAAAAAAGATATGTAAAGTAAAATATAACGAATCATGTAATTACAAGATAAGAAACGCTGAGTCAGAATTGTGTGGCAGAAATCACACGAATATATTTCGTGCCAGATTCTGTGTTATTAGATAAGATTAGAAGGACGACAACCAGACGCGGCATGAAAAAATATTATATAAAGTGTTAGATAAAAATGTTGAATCATTTTATCTATATTACCACTTTATTAAGCTCTTAATGACTTGGTAACTATTTAATAGTAATTCCCCCTTATCTATTTTTCTAAATTTGACAAATAATGATTAGAAATCATTAAAAGTTTTATATAAGGATTCATTTCGAAATAACTTTGTGGATTATTTATTAATTATTGTGAGGTTAAGAATCCTATTATGTGACTAAACAAAACTATTCTGGTTTTCTTGACCTTCATTTAAATTAGTGTTGTGTAAAGTTTAGTCGTTTTTTTGATTATAATAAGTTCTAAAGATTTTTTTTGAAATTAAGTTTTGAAAAACACGAAGAAACGTCAAGGTCACTCATAATATTTTCATAATTTGATATGCTAATACAAAATTTTAAATTTCATAACTGGATTTTTCCATAAAAATAGCATTCAATTTATATCAAAAAATTGTTTTTAAGTAAAAATATTTTAATATATATGTATTTAAGGGGTTGGTACTATGTAACAAACTTCAATTTGTAACTAACCTCAGTTAATTACACATTATATCAAAAAATAATGCAACTAATTATAAATTTGTTGATTTAAAGCAATAAAACCACTTTAAATACCGATTCATTAAAAATGTTAGAAGGAATAATTGAATTAGATCCTTGTGGTAAAATGACTTGTTGTGGTAAATAGATTATGAAATGGATTAAAATGGAGGATAAAGATGTAGCTTATCTTTATTAGAAATAAATAAAATTTAATTTAAATTTAGGGTGAAAATTATTGTAAAAGGTGACGAATGTGTAGAAAACGTAAAAGAAAAGTTCAAAAATTATTTAGATTAAAAAGAGGAAAGACGGAAGAAAGTCAATGATCATGTCGATGATGAAATGTCATGTCATGTGTCAAATATATAATGTAATATGACGATCTATAGAAGTGAAAAAATTTCTTTCAAGAAAATGTGGTCGTTAATCCCTATGATTTATTTTAAAATGTATGGTTTTTATGTGAAAATATTTGTAATCTAAATCGAATCACATTCTATTTTAATTTAATAAATTAATTTAAGGGGTTGGTACTATGCGACAAACTTCAATATGTAACTAACCTCAGATAAATACACAAAATATCAAAAAATTATTCTATTAATTGTAAAATTGATGATTTTAACAAATTTAAGGTGAAAATTCATTTAAAAGGAGACGAATGTGTAGAAAATGTAAGAGAAATGTTCAAAAATTATTTAGATTAAAAAACGGTGACCTTTATCAACGAAAGAAACTCAATGATCATGTCAATGGTGAAGTATCATGTCATGTGTCAAATATTTAATGTACAATAGAATATTTAATCTCGCCGGGATGCCATATCTGCACTGCTAAACGCGAATGTTTCTAGTTCTAGGTGTTGTTAGTGTTAGTTCTAGTTTTGCACTAGTTCTATCACTAAAACTAACACAACACCAAGAACTAGAAACATTCGGGTTTAGCCGCACGTCTCTCAAGACGGCTAAACCCGAATGATTCTTGTTCTAGGTCTTGTGTTAGTTCTAGTTAGCATAAGATATTACTATGTTGTATATTTTTTTAAGACGGCTAAACAGGAATGATTCTAGTTCTAGGTCTTGTGTTAGTTCTAATGATAGTGCTAGTGTAAAACTGTTCGAGCCGTGCGTCTTCAGAATTTTTGCTTAAAACTGACCAATAGTAACCCTTCTTTTTGACGCTTCGATTTGTAAACACTCCTCCGAATTAAAAAATAGAGTATAGTTATTACCTGTATAGCTCATTACTTATTATGGCAAGAACAGTGTCACTTTATGGGTGCTACAAGAAAGTGTACATGTTTCGGGCAAGATAAACGACATATTTTCAGTTGTGACAGTTTTCGTTAAGTAAGGTAAGTAGAAAAGTGTCACTTTTCTTGAAATAATTATCAGTAAACTTTTTCCCTTGTACTGTTTTATTTCGACTTGTGTCACTTTTTCTGACTGAGAGTATGAGTATTTTGTGCTGAGTCACTTTTCTTGATTTACATGTATTTCTTACACTGTATTTACCTACCTTTCTAATTTCAATTTAAGAACTTTAGAACTAAATATTAATAATGTAGCTTAAAATTTGTTTGTTTTAGGCTCGGTATGGAGCTTATGCAAGAATACAGAGGTAGGAAAATGCTGGCAGCTGTTGCTGCTACTGCTGACATTAAAACAGGACAAAAGGATAGATTGGAAAACGGAAAAGACATACGGTCAGAATCGTTTAATAGAAACTCCAGCAATAAAACTCTTAAAATTAAGACAAACAACGACGGAAGAATACAATATTCTAGATGGTAGTGTACTGAAAATCCGCATACAAAGCGATTTAGGTTACAACGAGTTAAATCAGGTGTTCCACAACAAGAATCAGCAGATGCAACAGCGGATGATGCAGACTTAGATCCACATTTTCATATTATGCCATCATCTTCTGATTCTGAAAACGCGTCGGAGTCATCAGGATCGAAAGAAAATGAAAATATTACTAACGAGACAGAGGATAAAACAGAGAATACCCGAGCAAATTGCAAGAGAAAAGGTACAAAAAGGAAAGCAAATCTAGTTAAGTGGAAAAAGAGTAGAGCAAAATTTCTCCGAAATACTGAGAAACCTTATACATCATCATTTTGAATTCGCAAAACAGAAATGTAGACAAGAAAGGTACGTCCGACGTGTAATGAAAAATGCAAACAACAATGCTCAAGCAAAATAGAAGAAAATTAAAGGGTCGAAACACCTGCCGTTACACCTGGGTATCAGTACAAAAGAGAAAGAAGTAAGCGTCAATTTTTCTTCAAAGCCACACTGGACATCAATGACCGATCTATTAGGACTGTGATAAGCAAATTAAACGAAGGATTTCTTCAAGAAGATCTCAGAGGAAAACACGGACTCCATTCTAAAATAGATCCCGCAATAAAAGATAGTGTCATTGCTCATATTAATACAATCCCAAGAATTGACAGTCATTATCTGCGCGTGCAAACTACTCGGAAGTTTATACAAGGTGGGAAAAGCTTGGCTGATTTACACCGCGACTACAAAAACGAGCGCAGGGAAAAGAAACCTTTCAAAGAAAGCAAAAGAAAGCGAAGGAAAAATTATAGTCACCACTTATGATCTTCATGCTGTGCTCCCAGCAGCAAGAGGGGATACGCCTTTTATTATAAAAGCAAAATCAACAGCTACAACTTAACTATAAACGAACTTCAGTCAGATTACGTCAAGTGCTTTTTTTGGAATGAAGGTCAAGGAAATCGGGGTGCCATGGAAATCGGCTCTAGAGTTCTGAAATACTGAGAAGAAAAAGCTAACACTAAAAACGACGATAACCTTAAAATTGTACTTTACTCGGTTAATTGTTGCGGCCAGCAAAAGAACACATTTATAATGGCAATGTACCTGTATGCTGTGCAAAAATTGAAAATCAAATCGGTCACACACAAAATGAAGGAGATAATATGCATTCTGTCATAGAGAAGTCAATTAAATAAGCTCTGAAATCGGGCAACATCTATATTCCCACAGATTATGTCAGATTAATTCGGTCTGCGAGAAAAACAGGAAATCCGTATTAAGTAACAGAATTGGGTTACGAGGATTTTGTAGATTTGAAAAATCTCTCTCAACAGGTAGGGTCAAACTACAGCAAACCATCAAACAACGAACAGATAATAAATATCCGACATAAAAGTAATTAAAGTGCAGAAGACTGACCTCGGCATTCTTTTTGTGAAAACTACATCTGAACAAAAAGAATATGCGCAAATCGATGTAAATTGATTTGTTTTATATTTCGGCTGTAAGTAAACCGTAGAATTGGAAACTTTGTTCCGGGCGGATATTGGATAGTTGCCAAATATCCAGCTTTGGCCGGATATTAAAAACTTATTACTTAATACTCCACCATAATTTTCAAAATTCGCTATAAAATTAATTTTTGGAAGGGTCCTTGTGGAAATATCACCAATTATTAATTAAAGTGTTCCCTTTTTAATGCAACAAGCCGTTTTGAAAAATCACCTTTAGTTTTTGAGAAATAAATTTTTGAAATGATCGAAAATTTTTTCGAATTTTGCAATTTTCGCCGATTAAGTTTCAAAAATTCGTATAAAATCGATTTCTTGAAATATGAGTATGAACATTTCCCAAAATGTTAATAAAAGTGCCCTCTTTCCAATGAACCAAAACACATTTTGAAAAATAACTTTTAGTTTTTGAGAAAATAATATTTGAAATTTTGATAAAATCTTCGATGTTGCAATTTTCATAGATAACTTTCAAAATTCGCTATAAAATTAATTTAAGTTGGACATATCTTATCAGCTTTCTTATTAATTTCATTTTTATTCAAATATCGCAATAATGCGGCAATCTAGGGTATCACTTCAGAAATGCACCAAAAATTATAACCATAATGGCCGGATAGATATGTCGGATATCCGGTATCCGGCGTTTTGCAAAATCACTATCCGTTCCATCATTACTTTCCGGCATACAAAAAAAATGGAAATCTCTGCTACAAAGCAGGCTCATATTAAATACCTTATCTCGACAAAATGTATTCCTGCATTGTACACAAACTTAATTTTTTATTTTTTTATTAAAAGTAGTATCTGAGGTTGAAAGTCATAATCAAACTAAAAAAATATTATAATTTTGGCTTGAAATGTGACATAATGATACTTGACAGGTCACAACAAAAAAAAAAAGATTTTAGAGAAGCAAGAAAAATGACATATATCATTTTTGTAACTCAGACACCTCACCTACATATGACCCCACCTGTTTGTTCTTTCCCAAATTATGTCATTTATAGAAGTCATTAATATTATTACTTCCCATCTAGTTAGAATAATTAGGTGAATAAAAACTTTGTTTTTGAGATGGATAAATTTTATTTTCGGCGGTTTCAACTATTTTTAGTCATCTTCAGGAGCTTTAGCCACGTCAATTTTACTTTTAATTTTCAAAATCTGGATTTATCTTCTTATTTACAATCGTATTCCCAAATTCTTGTTGTTAATTATTGTCAAAAATGTTTCTAATTTTGTGTTGTACCTTATTTTTATGTTATTCACAACAGCGGTTGTTTTATTTTTATTTGTAGGTTTTGAAAATTAACAGTAAAATTGACGTGGCTAAAGCTCCTGAAGATGACTAAAAATAGTTGAAACCGGTTAAGCAGAAAATAAAATTATTTTTATGGTTTATTTTAATTTTCAACCTTAATTTAAAATATAAATCATCCGCTTAAATAATGCTTGTTAAACAATGTTTTAAACATTTCATTAATCCCAAAATCTCAAAATTAAAGCGGTTACATCAACATTATTTTTCTAGAAAATTCGATTATTAACCTTGAATTTGTTATGGTTTATCTTAAAGTAGGTGGTTTTAGCTTCACAATGATATAACCGATCAACTAATTCTAATTAAAAAAGTTTTTTTTCATTTAATTTAAAAATCACACAAAATTATTAAACAATATTGTGTAATTGTACTTAAGTATGATATCTTAATTAACCCACCATATAAGGTAGTAAATAATTTTATCTTCCAAAGTATTTCTAATTATAACTTGGTCTTTTTAATTTATATAAATGAAAATTTGATAAAAGATAAAAATTAATATCTAAAAATCTACAAATTATTTCCTCTTAAATCATTAATTATCTATAAAGAACACTTACATTGTGCTACAACGATGCATTCGCCAACAAGAACAATGTGATAAGTCTGAACACGTGCGATAATTACAAGTTAAAACAGTTTTTCCACCTTTTTTATTAAAACCACCTCTAGAAAGTTTATCGAACATAAAAACTTCACTATTTATAACAATAACATCATAATTATTATTAATAAAAATCATTTCAGTAAAAACACCAATCATAATACTTAAGTATTAATTTATTTATTATTTTAAAGAATTTTTTTTGTTAGTAACTAATAAAGTTAGTAGTTTATTTTATTAAAATTATTTATTTTTATTTAGTTAATTTGAACTAAACCACAAACTAAATTCGATTGAAACTTGTTATTTTTTCACCACCCCTTATATACCAAATCATTCACAAAACACGAACGAACACGTTACTTTTACTCCATACAAATAATACAAATCAGTGGGGGAATACTGGGAATCTTTCGCCTCTCACTCTAATAAATAGGCATCTCACATTCTGAGGATGATGAAATTTGTTCAAACTTATGGTCATCGCATCTCTACAGCATTTTTTTTGCGGTGGGACTTCGAAATTGTTGCACAACTTTTGTAATACCGTCCAAAACAATAATAAGATGCTAAAATAGACACAAATTCTATTTTATAAAACCTATTACAGTTTTCAAGGTCAAAATGTTTTTAGTTTTAAACGATAGATGGAGCTAATAATTGTTTATGAATCATCAAAAAGGTTATTTTTTAAATTATATAACGTTAATTAATAATGAATCATCGAGATTAAAAAATAATTAATTAAATCCAGGATAATTAGTTTGAATAAAATCTTTTATTTATTCATACTATGTTATTTCATAAACATACATACATAAGAATGGAAATGTGATGTGTTGAACAATTTAAGAGTAAAACGATAAATTCGTACAGCAACATCAAGTATACAGAGTTGTTTTTATATAGTTTTTACTTTGAAATATAGTTTAAGAAGATATAGTTTGGAGCAGATTTGTGTTATTAAAACGATGTTTTTCCAAAAATGAAATTTCCTGGATCGCTTGGGTTTTCGGAGACGAAAAATTGCTTCCAAAGCGTTTTAAATTGATCGAAATTTACCTCTTTGCCGTTCTAAAATAAGCGGAATTAATTTGGGTTTAATTTATGCGTTCGTTTTAATTTACCGATGACATTTTGGTAAAAGCTTCTTTGCATTCGGCCGGTGCCAGTCCGTAACAGGAACAGACGCTGGTGAACTCGTTTGAATCTATTGAACCATCATTGCTGGCGTCTTCAAGTTCAAACATGAATTTCATGTATTGAACTTGCCAATCGAGGGGGTTATCGGGTGATTTTGCAAAATCATCCCACATTGCACACCATTCGTCAACACTTACCTAAAACAAGAAAACAATTAATAACAAAATTAATATAAATTTAACTTAACACATTCGCTACCAAAGGGTATACAGTAGAATTTCACTTAAGATGCAATATACAAAAATATATTTCCGTAGAAACTAGGGTGTACCTACTTACTTTGTCCCACAAAAAATGCAATATCTCAATATACATAACTTGACAGTAAAACTTCGACATAACTAATTAATACGGGGAAGGCAGTGTCCCTTCCCATACAACAATTTAGTACTGAATAACTAATTAAATTAGACTAACACTAAGAACTAACACTAGACCTAGAACTAGAAACATTCCGTTTAATTGTGCCTTTCTCAAGACGGCTAAATCCGAATCATAGATAAGATATAATATTAAACTAAGATTAGAACTAAAACTAGAACTAACACTAGAAAATTTCGGGTTTTGCCGTGCGTCTTTTAATAAAAGGTTTGACGTTTCGGATGCCATGTTGCTTCTGCCATGCTGACTTCGAACCAGTTTCTGAAGAAGGTTGCAACATGGCATCCGAAACGTCAAACCTTTTATTAAAAGACGCACGGCAAAACCCGAAAGTTTCTAGTGTTAGTTCTAGTTTTAGTTCTAATCTTAGTTTAATTCACACCGGCCGTGAAAGCCTTCGTACTTATAAGATATAATATATTTGTTATATAGATGGGCAACTATAAACGTCTGATTGAAATGCGCAATTAGTTTTGGATACTATCACCTACAGCGCTGAAATCATTGGCAGGCGGCAAAACTTTAAACACATTAAATTTTGTCGTTTACAATGTTTTACAAAAAAACATCAAAAAACATGACTAGGTATTAAATTTTATTTGGTACAGGGTTTATTAAAAAGTCTTTAAATGAATAACAAAGACTTTATTCTTTAATTTTTTTATTATTATTTTTACCACATCGTTTCCTTTTAATTTTATTGCATTTATCCAATGCTGCTTCCGCATCAATCGAAGTGTACTTATTATAAAGCAACAACAACAAATCGCTTTTTCTTCAAATCGCTAGCAACTCTTCCACTGTACACAATACAACGCAATCAAAAATATTACTATGTCAAACCTGGTCAAACCAGTCAAACTGACAACTCAAAAAATTGCCAAAATGGGTTCTGTAATCGAAAGCAACGCCATAAGTGACAGTATCCAGAATTAAACGTATATTCCCAACTTCATTAATACGAGTGACTGGTGCATGATCCGAATGATAGCCGTCTTTTGAGAAAATCGTCATTTAATTCTTAATAAACTAACCGAGTTTCGTTTCTCCGATTCTAAGCATAAAGTAGATAATATATTATTTGTTATACATAACCTTAAAAAACGGATTTTTTAAAAGATGAATTTTTTAATGTTATCTTTGATAATTATTTTCTCTTAAACTAATTGAGATATCAAAAAATGGTTTAAAACATTAAAATCGTCATTCAATTCTAAATTAAACCAAAAAGTTCCATTTCTTCCATTCTAAACATAAAGGAGATATTAATTTTTGAACTCAACCCTAATAAAACAGATTTTTTTAAATAGTAATTTTTCAATGTTATCTTTAAGAATATTTTTCTCCTAAACTAATTGAGATATCAAAAAATCGCTTGAAGCATTAAAATCGTTATTCAATTCTTAATAATTTTACAAAATTTCGATTCTTCGATTCTAGGCATAAAATAGATATTAATTTTTGAACATAACCATAAAAAACGGGCATTTTAAAACATGAATTTTTTTAATGTTATCTTTGGGAACTTTACTCTCTTAAACTACTTAAGATATCAAAAAATTGTATAAAGCAATAAAATCGTCATTCAATTCTAAATAAAACCCCAAAGATTCGTTTCTTCGATTCTAAATATAAAGGAGATATTAATTTTTGAACTCAACCCCAACAAAACGGATTTTTTTAATTGTAGTTTTTCAATGTTATATTTAAGAATATTTTCCTCCTAAACTAATTGAGATATCAAAAAATGGCTTGAAGCATTAAAATCGTTATTCAATTCTTAATAATGACACAAAATTTCGATTCTTCGATTCTAGGCATAAAATAGATATTAATTTTTGAACATAACCTTAAAAAACGAATTTTTTAAAAGATGCGTTTTTTAATGTTATCTTTGAGAACTTTTTTCTCCTAAACTAATTGAGATATCAAAAAAATGGCTTGAATCAGTAAAATCGGTATACAATTCTTAATAATGACACAAAATTTCGATTCTAGACATAAAGTAGATATTATTTTTTGTACATAACCTTAAAAAACGGATTTTTTAAAAGATGAATTTTTTAATGTTATCTTTGAGAATTATTTTCTCTTAAACTAATTGAGATATCAAAAAATGGTTTAAAGCATTAAAATCGTCATTCAATTCTAAATAAAATCACAAAGCTTCGTTTCTTCGATTTTAAATATGAAGGAGATATTAGTTTTTGAACTCAACCCCAACAAAACGAATTTTTTTAAATTGTAATTTTTCAATGTTATCTTTAAGAACATTTTTCTCCTAAACTAGTTGAGATATCAAAAAATGGCTTGAATCAGTAAAATCGGTATACAATTCTTAATAATGACACAAAATTTCGATTCCAGGCATAAAATAGATATTTATTTTTGAATATTATTTTTATTATTTTTTAATGTTATCTTTGAGAACTTTTCTCTCTTAAACTAATCGAGATGTGAAAAAATGGTTTGACGCATTAAAATCGTCATTCTATTCTAAATAAAACCACAAAGTTTCGTTTTTTCGATTCTAAATATAAAGCAGATATTAATTTTTGAACTCAATTTCCAACAAAACGAATTTTTCTTAAATTGTAATTTTTCAATGTTATCTTTAAGAATATTTTCCCCCTAAACTAATTGAGATATCAAAAAATGGCTTGAATCTGTAAAATTGTTATTCAATTTTTAATAATGACACACAATTTCGATTCTAGGCATAAAGTAGATATTAATTTTTGAACATAATCTTAAAAAACGTTTTTTTTTAAAGATGAGTTTATATTTAGTCTTATATTTAAGAAATTTTTTCTCTTAAACTAATTGAGATATCAAAAAATGGTTTGAAGCATTAAAATCGCCATTCAATTCTAAATTAAACCACAAAGTTCCATTTCTTCCATTCTAAACATAAAGGAGATATTAATTTTTGAACTTAACCCTAATAAAACAGATTTTTTTAAATTGTAATTTTTCATTGTTAGCTTTAAGAATATTTTCCTCCTAAACTAATTGAGATATTAAAAAATGGCTTGAAGCATTAAAATCGTTATTCAATTCTTAATAATTTAGATTCCCAAATGTTTGGCAATAAAAATAACGCACGATCGACGAGCGGCTAAACCTGAATGTTTCTAGTTCTATATACCGGGTGTAACAGGATCGCTTTGAAGATAATTGATTCAAATTTGGGACATCTTATACACATGATAAGAGACACTTTTTGACATAGAATAAATTTTTTTTTTCAATTCCGGTTTCGCCGGAAGTGACACTAACTTTAGATTTTTAAATGGAACACCCTGTATATTATTACATTTTTGAAATCTGAATAATTTTCTGAATCCAATGGTATATAAGTGACATTTCAAACGTCAATATTTTTTAGAATTTAAGTTTTATTTTCAATTTCAGTATGCCATGACAGTTCCGTTTTATTCTAATTAACCCGTCTAATGCTAGAAAAATCTAAATTCTGTCATTTTGATGAACTTTATTTGCACATAAATCACGTAATTTGGTATTTTTGGCGGAATTTAGATTTTTCTAGCATTAGACGGGTTAATTAGAATAAAACGGAACTCTTAAACATTAAATTCTAAAAAATATTGACGTTTAAAATGTCACTTATGTGGTACCATATGTGGATTCAGAAAATTATTCAAATTACAAAAATGTAATAATATACAGGGTGTTCCCTTTAAAAATCTAAAGTTAGTGTCACTTCCGGCGAAACCGGAATTGAAAAAAAATTACTTGTATGTCAAAAAGTGTCTCTTATCATGTGTATAGGATGTCCCAAATTTGAATCAATTATCTTCAAAACTAAAGGAGATACGGGGGGTGTACCATGATCCTGTTACACCCGGTATAGACGACGATATATAGATCTCGTCTTATCACATTTTAATTATTGTGATAACATTTATGGTTCATTTATTGACGCCATCAACAGAAAATTCAAAAGCTCCAGAATTCCTGTGTCCGGCTGATCTTTGGGTTAAGAAAGTACGATCATGTCTTTTTTGCTTTCAAGAAACTTAAATGGATGAATATGAAGTCGCGTCGGTATGTTCAGAAAGCATGTTTTTATTATAAGATTATTACGGAGCCCTTATTACCCTTATCTATTCGACAGAATTAACTTTGGAACGGACGTACAATGTCAATATTCGGTTCAGGGGTAGATTAACTCCTCCTTCCCATCGTTTGGAATTTTTTAAGAGATGCTTCTCATATCAAATTACATCTGTTTATAATAATCTTCCTAAACATTTAGTGGGTCTACCTTTGAACCGACTTAAGAAATCTTTGCGGGACTGGATTTTGGGTGTGTGACTGTGGGTTCGTGCTTGGTGGCCTTGGGGGATGAGATTCTTGTATGATATCATTTGGACACACAGTTGTCATTGAATTTTTTTTAGTTTATTATTGTTTTTGATTTGGGTTTGAGTGGTAGAATAGGTGTTACCTGAACTCCGCCTAAATTCAGGCTTTAATGTATTTTATTTTACTTTGGCATGTACTTATTATTTTCTTTACCTTTGTATATGTATAATATTCTTTTTTAAGTTTCTTTTTACTTGATGAAGCCTGAATAAAGTTATTATTATTATTATTATATCTAGTGTTAGTTCTACTTTTAATTGTTATTCAGCGTTAGATTGTGGTGGATTTTTATTGATGAATACACTTAGAGCTAGAAAGTTTCGGGTTTAGCCTTGCGTCTGAAGAAGTCAACTTTGCCAAGCAAAACTTTTCCTTTGCAAAATTACCCAATGCCTGTACTATTGAGCTATGTTGTATTTTATGTGGGTTACTGCATTCGTATATTTCGAGTTATATAAAATTCCGTGTATATGTGACGCTTGGTAGCGAACATGTCAATTTTAATTTACTTGATCATCGTTATTTGCATCAGCTCGTTGTCTTAGTCCGTCCCAAATTTTCATCATACTCGTGTGGGTCTTTTGGTATTGTGGTGAACCGCTGGACCATCCTCTTAGAGTACATATTTTCTAAAGTTAAATATAATAAAGATNAGGGTGTTCCCTTTAAAAATCTAAAGTTAGTGTCACTTCCGGCGAAACCGGAATTGAAAAAAAATTACTTGTATGTCAAAAAGTGTCTCTTATCATGTGTATAGGATGTCCCAAATTTGAATCAATTATCTTCAAAACTAAAGGAGATACGGGGGGTGTACCATGATCCTGTTACACCCGGTATAGACGACGATATATAGATCTCGTCTTATCACATTTTAATTATTGTGATAACATTTATGGTTCATTTATTGACGCCATCAACAGAAAATTCAAAAGCTCCAGAATTCCTGTGTCCGGCTGATCTTTGGGTTAAGAAAGTACGATCATGTCTTTTTTGCTTTCAAGAAACTTAAATGGATGAATATGAAGTCGCGTCGGTATGTTCAGAAAGCATGTTTTTATTATAAGATTATTACGGAGCCCTTATTACCCTTATCTATTCGACAGAATTAACTTTGGAACGGACGTACAATGTCAATATTCGGTTCAGGGGTAGATTAACTCCTCCTTCCCATCGTTTGGAATTTTTTAAGAGATGCTTCTCATATCAAATTACATCTGTTTATAATAATCTTCCTAAACATTTAGTGGGTCTACCTTTGAACCGACTTAAGAAATCTTTGCGGGACTGGATTTTGGGTGTGTGACTGTGGGTTCGTGCTTGGTGGCCTTGGGGGATGAGATTCTTGTATGATATCATTTGGACACACAGTTGTCATTGAATTTTTTTTAGTTTATTATTGTTTTTGATTTGGGTTTGAGTGGTAGAATAGGTGTTACCTGAACTCCGCCTAAATTCAGGCTTTAATGTATTTTATTTTACTTTGGCATGTACTTATTATTTTCTTTACCTTTGTATATGTATAATATTCTTTTTTAAGTTTCTTTTTACTTGATGAAGCCTGAATAAAGTTATTATTATTATTATTATATCTAGTGTTAGTTCTACTTTTAATTGTTATTCAGCGTTAGATTGTGGTGGATTTTTATTGATGAATACACTTAGAGCTAGAAAGTTTCGGGTTTAGCCTTGCGTCTGAAGAAGTCAACTTTGCCAAGCAAAACTTTTCCTTTGCAAAATTACCCAATGCCTGTACTATTGAGCTATGTTGTATTTTATGTGGGTTACTGCATTCGTATATTTCGAGTTATATAAAATTCCGTGTATATGTGACGCTTGGTAGCGAACATGTCAATTTTAATTTACTTGATCATCGTTATTTGCATCAGCTCGTTGTCTTAGTCCGTCCCAAATTTTCATCATACTCGTGTGGGTCTTTTGGTATTGTGGTGAACCGCTGGACCATCCTCTTAGAGTACATATTTTCTGAAATTAAATATAATAAAGATGTTTGAAAAGAAGTTGTTCTAATAATAAGATAATTACCTCTATGGCAAGTTCAAAATCCTTGCTATCAATAGTTCCACTTCTGTTAACATCTGAAATTGTATATAAATGTTTAAAATAATAAATGGAAACACAATATCATAGCAATTAACAACAACATATATTATTGTAAACAAGAACAAAAAAAAGCTTACCAAAGAACACATTGAAAACGTATAATTGCTTCTTTTTACGGAAATCGGCCATTCTAAAATAAATAAAAATAAATCATTATTGTAACTAAATGTTTATTTATAATAAATTATTTTAAAATTTTAAAGTAAACTTCATTAATTTTAATGCAAATTCATAGATAGCGCTAGTGTTTAGACAACGAAGTAAACATTAGTGACAGCTCGTTGATTTACAACCGTTAAATTCATTACAGGTACCCGCATTATCGGCATTGTATTCCCCAAATTTATAGCCTAAATTTAATTTCACGCCCTGATAAATCCAGCTTCTAAAAGCTCTAAATAGTACCCTAATAATGGTTAATTAATCACTTTGTTGTTGTCATGCTATTTCATTTCTAACCATGTTATGAGCCAAAATAGATTTTTAAATAATAATTGTAATATATATTAATATATTGAATTTCCCCAAACAAAGATTTATTATTCTTTTCTTTCAGAATTGACGAAAATTTCACCCTACGTTATGAATTTTGATGTGAAAACTTTGTAACTTCAAAAGGAATTTTCATCAACAAATAAGTGTTATCAAGCTCCAAATTATCGTTAAACTAACTAATGAGTACCTTAATTATAATATTTGAATGGTTTAACGTCTTTTAAATATCAAATTTAAAAAATTAATTTATAATTATGTCACATTTAAAAAGTGAGGTTAGAATTTCAATTCTAAAACTTATTTTACTCTCAATCTCTATTTAAATGCGATTACGGATTTTAAACTATAAACTTGTGACTAACTACAATAAGTAATTATTATTAGTGATTTTGCGAAAACCCGGATATTCGGCCGGATATCCGGCCATCATGGCTATAATTTCTGGTGCATTTCTGAAGTAAAATTCGAAAAATTGTGGATACTTTAATTAATAATTGGTGATATTTCCACAAGGATCTTTCAAGAAATGAAATTTATAGCGAATTTTGCAAGTTATCGATGAAAATTGCAACATTGAAAATAGTATCAAAACTTCAAATATTGTTTTCTCAAAAACTATAAGTTATTTTTCAAAACGGGTTAGTTCATTGGAAAGAGGACACTCCTATTAACACTTTTGGAAATTTTCATACTCATATTCCAAGAACTGGATTTTATACGAATTTTTAAAACTTAATAGGCGAAAATTGTAAAATTCGAAAAAATTTTCGTTCATTTCAAAAATTTATTTCTCAAGAATTGAAAGTGATGTTTCAAAACGGCTTTTTGAATTAAAAAGAGGATACTTTAATTAATAATTGGTGATATTTGCACAAGGATCTTTCAAGAAATTAATTATACAGTGTGTCCGTAAAGGCGATATATATAGGCTATAGGCGATAAAATCGTTACAAACGGGTTATGGAAAAATCCCTGAAACGGGTCTAAAGATTTAAATTTTTTGCAATTTTTTGGTGTAGATTTTAATTTTTTTCCGCCATTTTTAAACGAGTTATGACGTCATCGATATTTTTTTCAAATGGCAATCCCCCATTTTTATTACGGAATATGAAAGAGGATTTTGTTTTGAAACCAGTAGAGTCAATATTAATTTTGGTTATATAAGAAAACTTTCGAGAAAAATTGCATTAAAGTTTAACTATTCAAATTTGCATAACATGATAAAAATAGCAGTAGCCATTAGTAACTATGGTAACCAATCACTTTAAACAATTTCCTAAGTATCAAAAAATGGCGTGGTAAGTAGTTGAGCTTTTTAATACAACATATCCTGATCGTCTGATCAAATTAAAAACCATGGGCATCCTTTGAAACATTTCTCGAAGTCTGGCCTACCAAATGTTTCAGGAGAGGTTAAACAAAACGTGGTTTTAGCTGGACAAGAAAACCCTCATCTTACTTCATGTTACTTCTTACTGTAAGTGGTATTGGGTCTAATTTAGACATTAGTAAATCAACGGTTCACAAAATTTTAAAATCCGCAAAATATCATTCCTATCAAGTAAACCTCATGAAAGAGCATTTAGTCGTAGTTTTTGCAACAACACTTTTACAACGACAACGAAGACTTTGCAAAAATATAATTGTTACCGACGAGGGAACATTTGCATTAAGCGGACAAGTAAATAGACAAAATTGTCGATATTGGGCAAGAAAGTCACACTCAATATCCGCAAAAGATCAATGTGTGGAGCGAAATTGTACGGGATACTGTCCTGGGTCATTATCTTTTTGAAGAAACCTTAACTGGAGAGAGATGTTTAGATTTTTTCAAAACGATATCATTTATTTCATAACAGCCAGATTTTCCGATAATGTTAACCCAACCCTATTCTAACGGCAGTTATTCCAACAAGATGGCGCACCACCACACTTCAACAAGCTATACTAAATTACTTTTTGACACTCAGGAAATTGTTTAAAATGATTGATTACCATAATTACTCATGGCTACTGCTATTTTTATCATGTTAAGCAAATTTGAATAGTTAAACTTTAAACTAATTTTTCTCGAAAATTTTCTTATACAACCAATATTAATATTGACAGTACTGGATTCAGACCCTTATCCTCTTTCATTTCCTTTATTTTTTGAAATTGTCGATCATTTCAACAATTGATTTCTCAAAAACTAGAAGTGATTTTTCAAAACGGCTTGTTGCATTAAAAAGAGGATACTTTAATAAATAATTGGTGATATTTCCACAAGGATGCTTCAAGAAATGAATTTTATAGCGAATTTTGAAAATTGTCGATGAAAATTGCAACATCGAAAATTTTATCAAAACTTCAAATATTGTTTTCTCAAAAACTAAAAGTTATTTTTCAAAACGTGTTGGTTCATTGGAAAGAGGACACTTTTATTAATACTTTGGGAAAATTTCAAACTCATATTCCAAGAAATGGATTTTATACAAATTTTTAAAACTTAATCGGCGAAAATTGCAAAATTTGAAAAAATAGTCGATCATTTCAAAAATTTATTTCTCAAGAACTAAAAATGATTTTTCAAAACGGTTTGTTGCATTAAAAAGAGGATACTTTAATTAATAATTGGTGATATTTCTACAAGGATCCTTCAAAAAATTAATTTTATAGCGAATTTTGAAAATTATCGATGAAAATTGCAACATCGAAAATTTTATCAAAACTTCAAATATTGTTTTCTCAAAAACTAAAAGTTATTTTTCA